CCACAATAAGGCTTGAAAGACTCCTGAATGTGATCAGTTGAGATTTTGTGTCACTTGGAAAAGATCCAGATGGCCATTAGACCCCCTCAAGGGTCAGGTATATTTTCACCTCAAGTGAGCTCTTTCTCATTGTCACCACTTTTCATAGAATGCTGGAACCTTGTCCATTGGAGATGTTCTTAACAAGATGAAATGCCAGCTGGCTGTACATATTTTTTGTACAACCCCACGGGATGACTGATGTTTCCATGTTGTGCTTTTTCTGCTCCCATTTTGTATTTGCACTTAATGTGGGACACCATGGGAGTACCAAACCAGAGGCATCTTTTGGAATGAAAGTTTCCCACAAACTTGTAGAAGCCATTGCAGTAAAAGTTCTTTGTTCATTCATCCATTTTCAAAACAGGTTTTAATGGCTCAACAAAGTTGATCATCTTGCTGTAACTCAGTAACTTCCCATACATCTCTTTTGGATATTTTGAATGGCTTCATCTTTGTTCCATCATCTTCTGCAGCCAGAGGCAATGTGAAATGATCTTTCTCATATGACCAGTTGTTCTGATAAGATTGTTTTTTCTTCAATGGGATCTATGGTTGTCCAACCAGGCATGTAAAATCAAATTTTATGCTTCACCCATTTGAATAATGCTGCATTCTTTGATCCAGTTTGAGATCCTCAGCAGTGAAGTCCACAGAAAAATAGAAGCAAATGTGTTGGTCAGTTGATCTTTTTGAGCCACACATTGGTTCACACCTGAGAGGTGAGCCATTCCTCTCCATGAGTTTTTGCAACCAGCCAAAACTTGCAAAAAAAAGTATCCTTTTTCCTTGATTCAGCATCTATCTCAGTGTTGCTAGTACAGTGTTGCCTGGTTAAAAATAATCCTCATCGAAACAGGAAAACGCTTTTGTCCTTGCTCCAGAATCCAGGAAAAGACACAATCTTCCAGTTCTTCACTGACGCTTGTGGTTCCTCCTTCTTCTAATTGTTTTCTTCTTCTCTCTTTCTTCAGCACTTTCAATACACAAGACTCTGGTACTGTTTCTTCCATGCTCTGATTCTTTTTGGATCAACAACATATTAACAAGCAGCTGCCTCATCAGATGTTCCTTTGGCATATTCTACAGTACTTATTTTAAATGCTGCTTAAAAGGACCATTTTCATGCCATTTTTGATGACAAATAAATAAAGTAGGTAGGTAAACAGCAGTTAATGCAAATGGCCTGGGAATCATGAAAATACTGTAGTGAGCATGGTTCAGGGCAAATTCTTTATTCTGAAATTCAGAGAAGGACATTTTATTATAGCATTTATTGGGTACCAGGCCTCCAGTAGGGGATTTATAAAACTTTATCCTGTACTGTTTCACAGTCAAAATTTCAAGCTTAAATTTGAAATTGCTTACAATGTTGGATCATGAATGATTTCTCAAGAGTTCAGAGATAATTATTTAAATGGGATATTTGAAAAACTGAATTTTCCCATAATTGGAATGGACTGGTCCATTCCAATTACAGTATCTAATTTGTTCCAGTAATCATGATGGACCAATCCATTTTTATTGTCTGAATGGTTTAGTCTCCCAATTATTCAAATGGGACATGGGAAAAAATGGATTTGTTCCTGTCATTGGACTCATTCTAATTATTGGAATGGATCAGTCCATTCTGATTGGCCTCACAAAATGGGTATATTGCAACAAATCATAACCAATAAAAAGAAATCATTATTTCAAGATAATGAGCTATTGAAGATTATTTATTTGGGAATACTAAATGAAGCCATTACCACTCAAATAACTTCATGGATTTAAAACTTATTTACCGAGTGGCATATAAAGTAATTAACTAAAATTCAACATCAACATTCATGTGACTACTGGAGAGAGACGACCTGAAGAACCAATTTGTTCAAAGGGAATATTCATCAAATCATAACTCATGAGAATTATTTGCTGTTGCAAAATTCTAGACTGTATAAAACAAATGAAGCTTCCTGTACAGTTAGCATGCTGATTAAACATCCCTCAAGGCATCCTTTTCAGATATACAATGAGATTTCACATGGATATCATAAAATATTGAATGATGTGCAAGTTAAGTTCCATTGGGATATAGACTTGATACAATTGATGCAACCTTATGGGACATGATGATTTATTGACATGGAATTTTCTTTGAGTTCCATGTGGAAGCAAAGTTGGTGCAAGCAATTTTTTTTACTCTCCTGAACATTTTCTTCTAGGATGCTTGTGGAACATGTGATACTCATACCATTTTCTGACATGTACTGGTGTATGATTATGCTGATGCCCACCATTTTGTGTCATCTTATAGTCCTGGGGGAACATGACCACATGGGACACACCCAGTTTGTGTCAAAAATGCATGCATTTAGGACATTTCCCAAAATAACAGGATGCTGACAAGAAGTAAGAGCATAGGACACATTCCTTACACACATTTTCAGATGCATGACCAATATTTGCTTTGGTTTCATGGGTCTGCAGTAGTTTTGTAAAATTGTATGTACAGTATATTCAGTTGGACCTCATGAAGTCAAATTACCCTAATTTGAGTTAAAAGTGAATTTCTATCCAGTCCCCTCAAAAGCAATGAAGTTTAAACCACCGTAACTCAGGACTTCTTGTTACATTTTCCAAAGCCTTCATATTCTCAAAGTGGAGAAAAATGGTAGAACATCTGATCCAAAACAAAACAAAGCAGATGCAAAAGTTCTTTTTATGCTTTCCACAACAGACTCCGCATTTTTTCTGAAGATAATAAACAGTGAACAATAACAGTAAGGTTGCTCGAAAATAATGTTTCAAGGGCCATATTACATAACTCAAACTCTCATCTGGTCAAATTAATAATTGCCCCTCAAAATTTGAAGAGGTTCAACTTGATACACTGTATGTTTACCTGCATCATCAGGATCTTCAGAGGCTGGATTCAACTTTGCCCATCCTGCACAGGAGACTTCAGCAGGTGTTTTTGCCAATTTTGCATTGGTTTCCCTCTCAGATGCTTCCTCCACACACTGCAAAGATAACAATGAACTGAACTTGATCTAAATTTCCCAAGATATACAAATACAATACTATCTGGATTTTAAAGTGTAACAAGCTTCTAATGTTCAAATACATAAATATTGGAAATAATGATAAAAATCGTGTCCATACACAACAAGTATTGTACTTCTAGAAAAGTTCTCATCAATCTAACTTTCAAACTTTAAAAAAAAATGAAACAAATTTGATCTAGGCTATGAAACTGCATTTTTTGTCAAATTATTGGATCTGACCAAATATTTTCTTGATTCACAACAAAAAGAAAACACAAACCTTTCTTTTCCTGCTTTGAGATCCATTGGATATTGACTCATTTTGACACTTTGCTGATGATGCACTTGGATGTCGCAAAGGTTCAAAAGACGGAACCGTGCCTTCGCTGCGAAATTCCTCATCCTCAGTCTCCACGTATTCCACTTTCAAGTCATAAATGACCGCATCATCATCCCGCGTCACCTTCATACAGATTCAATCATAATTCAAAATACAGTGCATCAATCCTAAATCTGAAAAAATATTAAACCTTCTATATTCAAAAATATATCACTCACTTTCAAGAAAGTGGACATTTCCTCAGAAAGTTTGTGGAGTTCAACATCATACGCACGATTCTCGGCATTGGTCAATTCCGTGCATAAAACCGACACTTTTTCACACCTCGCACAGGCCTGAAGACTGGACTCCGTGACGAAAATAACATTTATCATCTTGGAAAAGTGACATTCCAGTGGTCGGTTCGTCATTAGGAACTTGATAAACTCCAGGCTTTTCGCACATCCAACACATTCCAATGTTTGGGTACACACGCTCTTCTTGGGGCATGCCATTGTCATCACCATGGTGTCCTGCCTGTGGCATCAGTGCCTCAATAACTGTAAAATACAAGAAGGTGAGTTTTATATAATAAAATAAAATAAATTTTGATGAAAGAATGTCAACTTACCTTCACAAAAAGTGGATGCTTCTTCAACATCAATTTCCTGCAGGACACAATACACGATGATCTACTCACTTTTGATGATCATCTGGACAAAAACCACAAAAGTTCAAATTAAGTTGACTTGATCACTCAACAGAGAATTTTAATTCACTCTGTGGAAGCACTTAAAAAATAAGTCCCTCTACAGTGTGATTTTTTCCCCCCAAGTGCCCCCCCCCCCCCCCAAAAAAATAGAGGATTTGACAAAGAAATTATGCCATAGATGCAATTTATTGCCCCATGCTTCAGTTGTTTTTTTCCTCACATAACCTGAAAACCAACTCAACAGTTTTTGGCTTGAGAACAGAAAAGCGAGTTCATTCATGACCCATGCACAACAATTCAACCGCTTTGAGCTTCTTCAGCACTTTGCTCAAAGTGTTGCAAAGCAAGAGTCAACACGCCTTTCTTCAAAGAATGCGTCTCAGCATATTGTTTGACATATTCCAATGGGTTTTCGAGGTGCAAATCAGGAGAAACTTCCGTCCCGTGAATCAAGTGATACACTTTGATGACGTTCGACGCATCTCGCAACCTAGAAAAAAAAGAAACAATACAGATGGTTCACTTTCTCATTTTCTCAACAAGTAAAATTTAGATTTAAAAATGCGTAAAATACGCACAGAGACCAAGAAAAAGGCGAACAAATTGTATAATACTGTAAAATGCTTCGAAGAAAATTTGAGTTATACTCGAATTCATCACGATTTTGAACAATTATTCCCGCATAACAAAAAGCCCGCGCAACAAAAAATCCACAGAAAAAAATGTTCAAGGGGAAAATTCCAACTCGCGGCGAAAATAAAAAAATCCCAAATTTCTTGGGCCAAAAAATACTCCAATTTCAAAAGGGTTCGTGCTAACACTTGGGAATGCAAAAAATCGAGGAAAATGACGAAAGAAGGGGCATAGTTTTGATTTTTTCTGTAAAATTGTATTATTCAGGTCGTTCAGAGCATAACATAGCCAGGATTATTGGAATTTGATGCTGTACTACAGTATTCAATTGATTTGAAAATCGTAAGCTGAAAACTAGGAAAAAACCAGTTTTTAAGGTTTATGAGTGTCTGAAACAAACTGAGTTACAATATATTGTGACCTTCGCGGAAATTGCGTTTCGGTTCCAAAACAGAACGCGGCATGAAGAAACTAATCCGTTACTCCATTAAATTCGTTATGCCAAGTTTTTCTGATGCGAAACGCAATTTCCGGGGGATCTGCTGTATTTAAAAAAAAATCATTGCAAAGGACTCATGATTCATTATCAAATCAACATCTTAATATGATTGAAATGGCCACTTGAATAAATCATTTGAATAAGTTGATTTTGTTTCTTCTTCAAGGCTTCAAAAAATTTAAATCAGCCCACTAAAATCTCACTAACAAAAACAAAACAAAAATTCCTCGTCTCTCTTGTCCAAGTCATTTCAAGCCTCGCGTAACTAGGACAAGCTCTCATCAAAACTTTTCGCAGAACGCATCAAACTCTTTTTTTTTTTTTGGTTCATGAGCGCAGGCAAATAAAATTCTTGAATTTCTTCTCACCTGCCCATGTCAATGAGATCCACCACGACATTGTCGATGTTCTTTGTCCAGGCCAGGTGGAAGATCATTGGGCCGTAGTGTCGCGTGGAACGCAGGTCTTCGTGTGCCCTCTGGGCATTGATGTGCTCATAGGTCTGTTCAACGACCCATTTGTAATTCGGGTGGTCCGGGTCAAACTGCAAACACGCCCTGTTCAGCACAAACAAGTAATCCTTCCGTTCCAGAGCTTTCTGCGATGGAGAAAAAAAAATAAAATACGTTAGATGTCGCTCGAATGCCAGATATTGTCATTATTTTTCTCGGTAATCTTACATGTCACATGAAGCACAACCTCATCTCGATACTTAATTTATTTAATCGTGAAGAAAAGTTAATTCGAACATTCCAAGGCTCTCTGCGATGGAGAAAAAAATACATATATAATTCGGTACATCATCATTTAAATGTGAAGGGAAGTTAATTCGAACATTTGAAAAATCCGTAGATCGTCACCCGAAGCACAAAAATTCTGAATGCAAATTGCTATCGAATGTGAAAAGATCGGAAAATCAAGCACATTGATTAATACAGTATTTTTCGCATTCTAACGTCGGGTAATCATCATCTCCTCGATAATAGGTAGATTCCACCTGAAGCACAAGCATAATCTTGATTCAAAATTTACTTAATTTCAAGAAGTCCAATCGAACAAATAAATATCTTCACACGAAAATCGGGCAATTCCTCTCTTCGAAAACAGGAAAATATTTTTTGAACCAAAATTATATCTTCATGCAAAACTTGTTTAAATGCAGGGAAAATTTAAATTCAAAGGAGTAACACAGTACTGTACAGTAATTGTAAGTTAATGAGCTTTCACTGTGGAGTAATTCTTTACTCGATAACATGTAGATGTCACCTGAAGCAAAAACTGAATCTTGATGTAAGCCCTCAATATTCAATACAGGAACGAAAAAGCTAGCATCATTCATATGTTCGCGAATTCACCTTCTCCCAGGATTAAAAAAAAATATATATATATATTTTTTTTGACATCGCAGTAATGATGAATAAATCATTGAAGTTTCCAGGTTGAAAAACAGAGAAATGCAACACGCACAAAAAAAAGGCAGAAAGAAGCGTTGAGATAACGCGAATGATATGTGAGGAATTGAAACGGATAAAAATTGCAATAACATTCTTTCAAAGGAGAAAAACAAATTGGGATTCATTCGCACAAACTCACACCCAAGTTTTCTTTGTTCTCAAACATTTCCGGATTCCTATGAAGTCGTCCTCGAACAGGAAAGTAAATCGTATTCAGTCGATCCCGTTCCTCCCATCTCGCCTTTCTCAGCTTCCCGTCCGGCTCTCGAACCACCATCAGATGGCTCTAAAACGAACAAAATCAATGAATACAATTTAAATCCATCGCCTTCACAATACAACTAGGCTTCAATTCCAGGAATGCAGTACATTATCCGAGTAAATCCAGTAATTTGATTTATTACACTATGCAAAAAAATATTCCAGGTTCCAGTCTGGAAAAAATGCATTCAAAAACTCCCCAACTCGGATTCCTCCCCCTTGCCAAGTAATTTACAAAGCCATTCAAGGCACATGTCGCGAATATTAAGGGTAGAGTACAATTTGACATGCCAAATAACTAACGAAGAATCCAAATTCTCAAAAAACTTGTCTTCATACATCTTTGTGGGAACCGGGAGAAACTCCAGTTCACACACCCACTTTTCCCTAAAAACCTCCAAGGTTCTTTTCATTGCCAAATTTCTGGAAATCCTAAAAACTCATTTATCCTTGAAGGATCGTTTTCCTACTTCATCTAAAAACTTCCCTTCTCACTGAGCTCTCATACGCAATACTCAAGCAATTTTGCGAATATTGTCTTTGTACAAATTACAAGAACTTTAGAATAGGGTGAAACATCACCCGGGTCACAGCCCAACCAAATTCTTTATTACATTCATTTCTAAAATTCATTCATATTTCCTCTTAAAATCATTCCTGACAGCACAGACACCAACAATTACAATTCCCCCTCATTACGATTTTTTCGTCTGGCTTTGTTATACGAAGATTCTACAATTTGAATAAATAAAATACATCTAAAGTCTTATAAAATAAAATTATCGTTCATGAATTCATCTCGAAGCTCACGCAGTTCAGTCCCAAAATCATTCGAGAGTCTCAATAGAAGGAATTTTCTGGTAACTGAAGAAAAAAGGTATTTTTTTTTCTCAAGCTAAAATGACTTCAAAGCAACGAAATTCAAACTAAAACCCCAAATTTTTCATGCTTGTAAAATTCTCACCCTTTCGGAAACACCGTAAGTTATGTCTGTGAACACATATTTTGCCGAATCGTAGCCCTTGAGCTCAGGATCATCACTCAGCAACTCTTCCACGTCTTCCCTTTCCTTCACCACCGGCGGCATTTGAAGCAATCGTTTGCCCTTCTCGTGAAACTCCGACACCAACTGCTCCAAAAGACAGCAAATTAAAATTAACACTTGCAAAACACAAATCCATTTAAAACACAGAAGGTTCCCAAATAACAAAAAGAATCAACAGAACGCGTTTTGTAAATATTCTGATTTTTCTTTCTTCTGCAAAACGTAATTACCCTCAAAGCTACATTAAAAAATTATTTCATTCGTTCAAGACACTCCGCAAAAAGCCCTAATAAACCTCTAAAAGCTGCATTTTTCCTCGTTTTCAGCATAAAATCAATCAACATTAAATTCAAAAAATCCCTACAAGTTTGTGCTTTCGACACAGTCCGAAGTTCTGGAATTTCAAAGACAAGAGAAGGGAAATCCGTATTCTTCTCTGCTCAATTTCATCACATTTTTTGTCGCTAATTTATTCGTCTGAGCCCAAAAAATGATGAACATTTGAACGCTTTTTGGCCGTTATGTGGAACAATTCTGTTAAGCGAGTCACTTAATTCCTATCACACAATTTCGTAATGCGAAATTTTAGTTTCAAGTCTTCCACCAAAACGACGATCGCACGGTGAAAAAACGTACGTCTCAAACATTCTTCATCCACTAGTAAATGAATAAAAAAGGATGAAGCAGCACGAAATTCACAAAACTTGTAAAACAAAACAAAAACACTGAGTAAAATCTCATAAAAAAAAGGTCCTCGTTAAAGAAACAGAACAGATCCCAACGACACCTTTTCGTATTCCTTCTTCATCATGAATTCGTATCGCGGGGCTCTTTTATTCTCTCGTCTCGGCAGCCTCGCAAAAATCTTGGCCTCGTCATAACCCGTCACCTTCTTGAGCAAAGCATGAATCTCCGGGTTGAAAAAGTACTTGGCAGGATCTAAAAATTGCGCAAATAATTTCGCGTTTTACAATCGGGAAAATTAATTCGCGGAAGATTATATTTACTCACCATCCTTGGCCACTGAACTCGAGAACCTGCTCCAAGTGAATCGCGAAACCGCTCCCCGACTCAACAAGGATAAAAACTTCATATCTTCCTACTGAAAAAATAAATAAACCAATCAACAATGCTTCAAATTCAAGACATCCGGGGACAAAAAAAGGAGGTGAATTACGAAGTATTTCAAGCTCCATAAAAACTACTCGAATATTTCGGTAAGTTTTCGAACACATGTCGACAAGAAACTAAGGCATTAATCTTGAAATATTAATTATTCGATTAAATTTTTTAAAAGCAACTTCAATTTAAGCTTTCACAAAATATAATTCGAATTGCTTCTGCGTATTTTTCGCACGCATCACATCGAAAAATAAGTTCGAGATCACCTCCAAAATCTGCAATCAATTTTATGGAAACAATAACTTGCCGCACATTCCAAAAGTTATGAATTCATGTGCAAAATGTTGTTGATAACAAACTTCAAGAGAAACAGCAAATTCAAATTTTTTTTTTTTTAGATTATTCATCAATTTCTGAGGCTTCCAACTTCCGAAAATATTCCCGTTTTCGTGGGTCCAGCAGCGCATGAATTCTCCTGTACAAGGTGCGATCAAAAACTACGCATGTTTCCTTGATAACACCTTGCACAAAATAACCTCCATTTCATGAACAAGGAAAATAAATTGAGAAAAAACGAAACAACAAAACGGTTCTCCTCAGTCATCAGGCACACGTCATATAAAATATACACCGCGGGACGGCCACTCAAAGTCAGGACAGCGTCTCGACAGAATTCCCACAAAAAAAAGAGAACTACGAAAAAAAAACAAGTGAAATAAATTCGCATGGAAGAAAATACAATGATGAAGTGAGAGAATTCCAACACCTAAGTCAGGCACCCGCCATCGTCACGATTCACAAAAAAATATCGCTTTCTCCTCGTTTAAATCCTCAACAACGGAATGTGAGAGTCAGTCGTTCTCCCTGCCTGACGAAAAGTACGTATAACGGATTGATTTGTTTGTTTGTTTTTTTCTCTTTCTCCTTGATTGCTTAATGCTAAATGCAACTGAAGTATTCAACAAAAGCCTCGGCGGAAAAATTCCCGCGTCTCCGTGGGCATTTTCCACTTTTTTTTTCTTCAACCAAAACGAGATATAAATTGTTTTTCACCCCCTGAAGACCGACTGAAGAATAGCATGACTGGAAAAATAATTTCCCCAAAAGCGTCTTCATCATCAAGAAACAAAAGTCGTGGTAACAACGAGCCAGCGAAGCTTCGCAAGAAATCCTAACATGAAAAAAAAAGACAAATGGATTAAATCAATTTCTCGCAAGTCAACCAATTTAGCAACGCAGTATAATTTATTCATATTACGTACGTTCTGCAGAATGAAGCTCTTTCTCTAACCATAAAAAAAACGATAGTTAAGCCTCTTCAGGTAAAATTTGAAGGGATCAGCAAAATAATCCTCCTTACGGTTTTGAATTAGGGAATTACCATTTCTGCCTCAAAAAATGGAAGAAAGATGAAATCATCGATATTTATTGCCCAAAACCGCGTCGTAAATAAACTGACTGAACGTTGAACTTGGAGGCAAGGGATAATTTGCCCCTCATTTCTTCACTTCATTCTAAAAAGCATCCAGTTAATTCTTCAATACTTTTTTTCCTTCCGGCGTCACAAAATTAACAGACAAAATGCCTCCAGAAAATTCTAATTATACAGGTCTGAGGGGAGAGTCATGAGTTGAAACTGTTTTCATACATTGCTTTTAAGGAAATTCAGACAGCGCTTTGAAAATATTTCAGAACAGGAACGCTCAAGTTATTGATGTTCAACTGCCCAAGTCGAGACGAAATAGAGCAACAAAGGACTCGTCAGAGCTCCTCCTTAAACCCTTCCTCTCCCCGAACTCAAGCGCTTGAACAAAAATGGTTTTGAATAAACTCTCGTTTGAAAACTAAGAATGAAGATCCGAAGTCAGAAGAGCTTTCAGGGATTGGTCAAAAATTTTCCATCCGCAGAGCAGAAACCTTTTCGAAATTCTCCTCTCAAAAAAAGGGGGTTGCCAAAGGAGTTTCGGTCAGTCTTCCGGGGAAACAAACCCAGGATAAAATAAAAAATAAATAAACTTTACAAGGAAGAGTTATATATGAACAACCTCAGAAGAGATCAGAAGAATCGAGGCTCTTTTCCCAACGTAACCGCACGCGCGATAGTTTCTCCTCTCTCATTTCTCGGCAAGCTTCCAGAGTCCACTTTTCGGCAAGGATTTCGTTTCTTATTCTTCTTTTCCAGCCCCATTTCGAAAGGAAACGAAAAATTCAAAATCATAACGAGAAACCCTCGCGAGATGCTACGATCCGAAAAAAAAAGGACGCGATTAAGCCACTGGCGGTGGAACATCTTCTTCTAGTCGGACGCGTTTCGTCTCCGGCTCTCCGGAATCACATTCGACGACAACCTCATCCCGCTTCACTCCACTGTCATTGCTAGTCTCGCCATTCAAGTCCTTGACGGCGTGAATGTCGTCAGACGAAGACTCGTCATCCACAGACGATGCAGATGATGCTTCCGCTGTCCCGTTTTCCTCGGCGCCAGGCACAGAGCTTCGCGAGTCGTCTTCCTCTTCAAACACCGTTGTTCCGTTTCCATTCACCTTTTCCTGAGACAAGGGCGACACCTTGGCGAGCTCGTCGAGTTCGTTGAGGATTGGAGAACTCGCGTCCGCGAGCACGTAGTGCGCCCATAAAGCCATTTCCACACGGTGTGGGTTCCAGGAGTCAGAACCGGCTGTCAGGAAATAAAATTTATTCACAATTGAACCTTGGTAACTCAGATTTCCTTATGTGAAATTCTTTTCAAGCCCAAGCCTGAGAAGCAATCCGATAGAAACCTCCCCAACTCAAAAAGCTTTCCTCCTCAAGCCGTCATACGTCGCATTTCCCAGGGGTCTCTTGGCTAGTATTTTATTGACACAGGAAAGAGAAAAGCAATGAAAATGTAACGATCCGTTTTGAAAGGAAGTGAAAGACTACTAGGGCGAATGAACCCTCACCTTCCACTCCAGCATCTTGTCAACATATTCAAGCAGCAATTTGAAGCCTAAATATCACCAATTACAATTTTATGTAAGTATTACTGTATTTCTTTTCCCCGACTTAAATAGTTCTGCTGGTCTATGCACAGATTCTACTTAAAAGAGGTTCAACCTTAATTCTTTGCGAACACATGAACGACAAAAAATTACACCTCAGTCCAATTCTCTGAACATATTTCAATTCATCGAAGGACGTAATTCGATGAACTATGATCACACCCCTCGTTGAACTAACCTTGTTTGTTGAGCCTTTCACAAACCGCAACCATCTGCTCGACGAACTGCAAGTATTCTTTCACAGTGTAATCGATGGACCCGACGTCTGAGATCGCCATGAGACATTCGTCAGCCATGAATGGGATCTTTTCCGGAGCCATGGCAGCCAGTATCGCTGAAAGGAACACCGAAATTTAGAATAATGTTCTGTACATTGGACACTGGATTCTCAGTCGCAAAACTACCTGACGCGAAAGCTGGGCCGACACCCTTCAGGTTGCTTAAAGCTTGGATAGCACTCTGTAAGTCGTCCTTCTTGGTAAGTTGACGATACGCCTTTTTTGTTTCATTTAGAACAACACGTGGTGTATTCATCTGCACCAGTTCTTTCAGTCCGGGGCGAAACTTGCCTCTCTGTTAAAAGAAATTACGATGAATCGTAAACTCGAAGTTAGCGGAGACACGCACTCATTCTCACCACTAATTTCCATCGCATGCACTGAACTATTTCGTCGTGAGAGAAGTATTTGTCCGGAAGGCGTTCACTCAGTATTCCTGGAAGTTCTTTTTGAAACCTAAAGAGTTCACACTGTTCAACTCCTTTGTCCACTCCATGTCATCACAAAGAAACTCACCAGTTATCCAGCTTCTTCAACTCCGCCGGTTTCTTCTTCGCTTCACATTTGAGGTCCAACGCGTCGCTGTAGTGATTTAGAATGTAATCGTACTGTCGACAGTTGCCGTGCTCGTAAAACACGCGCGAATCCAGCCAATTCATAATTGTAAATTAATTGATCAACTGTTGCCGGCGCACACCGGAACTTAAAAGATTACGCGGATACAAACGCAGGCTTCCCACCTATGCACAAAACGAGTGATTAAATTATTCTACACGGAATGTCAAGAGACACTCGCAAATGACGAATGTTTAACATGAATACATTCAAAAGTATTACTTCCACATCACGTCTCGCCTTGAACTTCGCGACGATCAAACTTTCGGCTGTCATTTCGGTGGAAATTACTAGGTCGCGTCGCGATCTGTCATCACCTCAATCGAGGGTGGGTCGTCATACGGGGGAGATGGCTTAAGGAAACGTGCAGCATAGAAGTCAGCAACAGCTACTGTATACCTTCGTATTTTCAAAGACTGTAAGCCAAAGAATTCTCACGCTGCCGTGCGAAATTTTTGATAGCCAAACTTAATTCCACATGACCTGTTACATTACTGCATGCGGGATTTCTATGCGGATCTGTTTTGGGAGTAGCGCAGCGCAAATTGCTATGCTCATGGCCATTTATCCGGCGCGTAATACGAAATTCGGGGATTCTGAAATACGAGCAGGGTTGAGGGGGTTCCGCTGAAATCCGAAGGAACCCCCGTTTGGAAGAAAAAGAGGGTTCTAGGGGGGTTTGAGCAGGAGCCTCATTCACAGAAAGGGCCATGCTGCAGCATTGTACAGCATTCAACAAAAGGTGTCCCTTTACCCCAGTTTCTGGGAATCCAAGAATAGGACTCCATTCGGTACAGAGACTGGATCTAATTGGTAAATAAACTTATTTTTACAGTGATGTCCGATTTTGAAAGCGTGTTGATGGTATCCCCGGTCTCTTCAGAAAATCCGTAATCAATGGTTCAGTACGTTGTGTTGTGTTGGTTTGTGTCAAGTGTATGGCTTCTCGGAAAAAGATTGCCATGAGCCTCTCGAGTCGCATCAGTTCTTGCAAGAGCCACGGAAATAAAACGTCAGGGTAATCTTATCTCAGGTTTTCCGATGCTCAAGCATGTTCTTGAGCCCGCCAGTCTCTTGGGCGACGTAGGGTTGTCAACACCTTGTGGTACCCGTGCGTTGGTTTTCAACGAGCCTTTGATCTGGGTTCCGCGAGGGAATTCCTTGAAATGGGAAATCTTGACAAGCTGTCTTCTGTTCAGAAACTGCTCAACCTTGCGGCGGATTCGCAAAAATCCAGTAAGTGTCATGCTCGTACCGTCCTCCGCATTTTTACGATATCATACTTATGATTATTATTATAGACAGTCAAACAGATGTTTCGGTCGAATGGATCATCAAGGGGAAATCGAGACCCTTTATTACAGTCGCAGTTCTAGTCCTTGTAGTACTCGGCTTCTCCATTGCATTCAATGCGGTGTTATGTCGTCGGTTGGCACTGCTGGAGAAAAATTTAGCATCCCTCCAACACTTGGTTGAAACTTCAACCCTGATTCTTACTCCCGACCCTGCTGACAGGAGCGAAATTCGCACTAAACGTCAAACAAGAAACGATAATGCGACTAATACGCGTCGAAAAAATGGTGAGTAATGTGAGCTCGTGTGAAGTGCTAACTTTTACTGAATATGTTTCTTTTTTTGAGGCCGTGCTGCAAACGTAATCAGAGGCGTTCAGTTCCGACCGTGCTTCAGCGACGTTTTGGATTCGGAAAGCAATGGTACGCGAGTGGGTACGGTGGATATTTTCTAACTACTGTACTGTCGGTTTTGGGTTGTCTAACCTTCCATTTAAGTGCCGTATACAGTATATATTTATATGTGTATCGAGAATGACATCTATACGACATGCAGCATTTTCCCAAGTAAATAGCGTCTGCAGAAACAACCCAACGACCCATCGCTCTAAAAAATACATTCCTAAAAATTGTGAATCCTTGCATTTATGTTCGGCATGATTTTAGTGCAGGAAATTCGTAAATTAAAAAATGTAAGTGATAATTCCTGGTGTACTGAATATAGGCAGCCATTCGGTGTTCAGTAACTAAAAATACCAACGCAGTGGGGAATTCATTATTCGAAAAATGATTCTTCATTCCGAGTCTATTCAAATCAGAACGCTTAAATTTGAGAGCGAAAAGAATCCATGAACTGAATAAAGGAACAAAACTCTTATCTGCTGGAACAATTTTTCGTTGGGCGGTATATTTTGTAGTGGTAGCTGTGCTCGTGTTACCGTTTTCTCGTGTATCCATTTGTTCTTGACTGTATTTTGGATTACAGGAGGCCTGATAACGGATTGGCATCCAGAATGGTCCTCGAATCCGTTCAAGTACGATTTCGACCCTGTTACTAGAAGTGTGATGACCGTGTTGGAGGATGGAATTTACATGGTTTACGCTCAGGTACGTTTTTCGTACAATGTTTGTACAAGCTTTTGGTTTTTTATGTAATGAATGATTGCTTACGGCTTTATCGTTTTTGGGTGTATTTATTTTGAATGCGTTTTTCGCAGGTGTATTTCCTAAACAGCTACGAAGTGAGCAGTTTCGAGATCCTCGTTCGCGGAGGCAACGCAGTCACAGCGGAACGTGAGAAAGTCCTCGCTCGGTGTTCAGACTCGGGATCCACACTGACTCCCATCAACAAACGCAGTGAAGCTTCGTGTTACACTTCAACCATTGTCCCACTGTCGAAAGGAGACTCAATTTTCGTGCGAGTGAGAGAGACTAGCCGAGTTTTGAACGCATCCCGCGGGAACACGTTTCTTGGGGTGTTTAAATTATCAAAGAGCTCTGCTGATGAGGCAGTTATGGGGAAGAAGGGTTTAGATCCCCAGTGTCCGATATCCTGAATTTTCAGGTATGATCCGTTTGTGTAACGGTGATATTATGCATCCTCTGATTCAGTGTTCCCCAATCTTTTTGTGCCCACAGACCGGCAAATTTCCATGACATTTTTGTATACTATTAAAACAAGCTAAAAATTTTTGACACCTGCCATGAAGTTCTCCAAACAAAAATGTTAATGCAAAAATTAAGTTGAGAATGCCTTCAAAGAATTATAAATCTGTGTTTCAAGAAAAGTTTCTAGGAATAATTTATTTTGGTGGGTGAAAGTTTGTCTGAAGTGTCATGAGAAAAGCCGAACTTATATTTTTGTCAGATTCTTTCAACTGCCATTTTCTCTTTCAATTTTTAAGATAAAGATACCAGACTTTATAACTACCTTTGATAAATTTATTATGCTGAAGAAAATTTCCTGTTGACCAGCAAAAAACTTCTGTGGACAGGCACCAGTTGGCAGACCACTGCTCAGTTTGGTGTGGACAGCACAGAGCTCTGTGCTTTTTTTTAAGAATATGCTGAAGGATCGGCAACCAGTTTTGTGTTCTGTACATAGGAAAGAAGAATTATCTGCTCACATTTTTTTCTGCAATGCTGGTTGTGGAGATTCCCTGAAGGAAACATTTGGTTGAGAAACTTGCTCTTTTTCCACCCCCCCCCCCCCCCTCTTCCAAATTATGGATCAAAATGACTTTCCTCATCATGAATAGATCTCCTGTTTCTGACACCTCGTGAGAAAGAAAGATTTGTATCTTCCTTGTCAAGCAGGAAAGCTCTAAATGAGTTGAAATGTTTTCCATGGGTCTAAAAAATGGATGATCCATGGAGTGTTTGCAGAAAGACTACCATATTTGCTCAAGTACCACATGCACCTAAAAAATTTACCTCAAATTGGGGTGTGCATCATACTAAAGTGTTCCTTCTTCAGCAAATTTTCTACATTTTTCCTATCGTTGAAGACAAATTTTGGAATGAAGCTATTTCAGAGACAAATTTTTGAAAATATGTATTTATACTCAAATAAAACAGACAGATGAAAATGTGAGACAAGAACAAACTCATACAAAATTAAATTCAAATTTAATTTTCTAAATTTCAATTTTTAGCATGTAATTCTTCAATTGAATAGACTTCAGAGTCACAGAAAAGTGGGCTGTGTGTCTTACAAAAGGATTTATTTTTCTCAAAAATCAAGGTGCATGTGTTACATGAGTGCATGTGATACTTCAGTAAGAACAGTACTGTCCTTGTGTTTTTCAAGAGACCTACAGTGATTTTACTGTATTGTAAATAAAAATTTCTTTTGGAAGGGGGGGGGAGGTTGAGAAAAAAGTTTCAACTTGTTGCTCCACTTGGCCTGTCAACATTGTATTATCATCTACCAATTTGTGCTTCCATATCAGTAGTGATAAGGCGCGAAGAAAAAATGAGTCAACAGAATAAAAGTGAATGACTGACATGTGCCTTGAGGATAGAAAGAGAGCTTGCCATTTTTGTTGCTGCCTGAATGCTCATCAGTGCTCAGTCTCAGGAAGCATTGGTGTGATAATTGCTGATTTTCGAGCTTTTTTGTTTTTGCTGAGATGAAGGAACCCGTTTTGTAAGAAATTGTTCTGTGACTTGAGTTGTGCGGAAACAGTCAAGCTACAAACTGAACTGCGGCAATAAATAGGGCTTCTTTGTACGGAAAGTGTCTGAATACCATTTATATTCCCAGCCTGAGATTTCTAGTATTTTTGCAATAATGTTTCATGAAATATTTTTTTCAGATCTTGACAAGATGCGGTGGAAATCGCATGGGAATGATACTGTGCTTTCAAAAACAAGGTAGAGTATACTGTATTTACCTTTTTAATGTGTGAGGAAACTCATTTATAAGCTGTGCACATGAAGAAATTTTGGAGAAATTATCAGATAAAATTGTACATACGAGTATCTTTAAAGAAACTCGCCATCAACAATATTTAAAAATTTGTTCTCTTGTATGATCGTTTACTGACCTTGATCATGAATAAAGAGCTGGCAATAAAATAATTTGCTTGACCATCCTGACTCCAAAGCTGAGATAATGAAGGCAAACAAACATTCCCTTCATGACATAAACACTCAGAAAAGATAATGCCATGACTCCACAGCAGATCCACTTGGTAAGATATATGTGGGTATACAAGAAACCAGTTTTTCCCCCATGACAAGAACTTAATTCTGCATAAACCAAAAGCTGAAGAATTTTCAAATGAGCATTTTTTAATTTCACAGGGGTATTGAACTTTCTGGAGGCCAGGTTATTGACGTATACTCTACCAAGTCTACATCTTTGAAAATACCGGTATAGTGAATCCATGTTAAAATTAACCAAAAGTTTCCCCAGAAAAATTCTGCAGTGGCACCAAAACTGAATTCAAGCCTCAATAAGCCTTCATTATTTGTTTGTAAGGTTTATGGCAGTTCAATAGGGCTGGAGATTGAAGGGGAATTGGTTTTCTTCCAGAAAAGCTAGGATTACATAAAAGTTGACTTAGAAATAAAATTCTGTTTTTTTTAGAAAACAATCAAAATAACCCCAGGAAGCATAAATTACCGCTTGCTAATGTTCCAAAGAAGTAGATTGTGTCAATTTTGCATTTATGCTTTTTAAATTGGTGCGCACAGAAACTTGCATCTTGTTGGTGGGCTATCAAAGAACTAAATTAACTGGCAGGATCATATTTGATTTGTCAATAATTTTGACAGATGGCTTTTCAGAAGGGTTTCCAATGCATTCATCATCAGGGTGGATTTGAATTTCAAGATCAATCGGGGGTTGACAAAGGTGAATGGGATTTGACTGTAACAATACAACGCATGCTTCAAACACATTCTCAAATTTAGAAAGGGAATGAATGACAAACTTGCATTGATTATCACATCATGTTTCAGAAAAGGGCAATGATAAAAACCTGATGCGTCACTTCACAATAACCACGTCGCGTGAAAATAATGCTCCACAAGACATTAATAACAAAAATTCGCCATCAAAGGAACAGCTTCTCTGTTCAAATTGAACCTCGATTACCAATGCACTCATGCCTTTTGCTTTACACGAAACACAATTGACCGAGTAAAAACATCACAATTCAATTCCTCCAGAAGTTCGCTTTTCTCTTCGGAGTTGATGCAAGAAGCACAAAAAAAGGAAAAACCTGTACATGCTTTTAAATTATGGCCACTGATACGAGACTTCCACGCAATTTTGTCACTGCGACGTTACTTCTAAAAAAAAAAAAATGCAAGCTCCAATGGGGGCCAGAATGATTTTTCCTCAGCTTGTGCTCGGAAATTACCTTGTTCGTTTATGCACATTTGCACTTGCTCGTTTCACTTGCTACGATACACTTTTGAACGCTACTCGTTCCAAGCTTCCGCGATCGCGGGCAACTTAAAAATTGTCTCAGTTTTTGAAAACAACACAATGAAAAATGAGAGAATCAACAAATCCGCAAAAGCGTTGAAAATGTGAACAAATCAAAAATGTTCGTATAACCCTCGAACAACTTTTGAATGGCATCCTGTCATCTCTTCCAGAAATTCCGAATAGGAAACGAGACAAAAACCGTTTTACATCCAGTAGACGTAGGAAAATATCGAAATGATCGCCACAACTGCGGCACCGACTAAGAATTTCGAGAGCGGCTGATTTCCCAGAGTCTTTTCCGAGTCTTGCGATTTCCTCGCATCTTCACCAAGAACGTGCTTTCCATTCGTCAAATTTATCAGTTCCTCCGCCACGGGCATCGTGTATCCCTGAGTCTTCTGACGCACAATTACGATTGAATCATTGATGAAAAAAAAAAATTCAACATTGAAATAATAAAGATAACTCACAAACAATGAATTCTTGACCGGCATTGCCGGCGGCAATTCGTCGCCAGATCCGTCGGAAAGGTCTTCTGCAGTCGCAGGCGAAGAACTGCTGTTGTCAAAAGAGCGGGACAGCGAATCACTGCGAAGAGGCGGCGTTGGCGGCTTTCCTTCATCCTCAGACGAGGAAGAATCCAGACGATGCGACGTTTGCATTTGACTGGAAAATACCGCGCGATTGAGCAATTTTAAAGTCCCGTAAATCGGCTTTACACACGAAGATCGGCCGATTCATCATTTAGGTCACTCGGGTTCTCACGTTTTTCAGTGGACCAAAAGAAAAGAAAAAATTCAGTTAAGTTTACATTCAGACGTTACTTGCACATTTTCGACTTCGCGAGACTAAGGAACAAGATCGCGGGGACTTAATCACATCACCGAAGCACAGCAAGCTTTCAAAACATCACGCCATTTTGAAAATGCTCTGAATAAAGAGCATCTTTTCACATACACTGACCTGTCTGTATCATCATCCAGGTCAAAGTTCCCATCGAAAGATCCGTCTTCGCACAAGATTTTCCGGGCACCGCGAATTATCCCCAAAAAGCTGAATCGCAACTGATCAGCGGTCTGGATGAGCCCCATGCGATATGTTCTTAGCTCCAAAAGTATGCTACGGACATCCAACTCAGAGAAAATGCGCTTTTCCAAAAGTAGCAAGCAGCTATCGATCAGGCAGAAGGTTCCTGATCGTCCGATCCCAGCGCTACAGTGAATGACTGCAGGACCAACTTCATTTTCCAACCTGGCGAACCAGAATTCACGTGAACTGGAACACTGATTCTCTTCGAATATGCAAGAACGATTTCCACGAACGTTTCCCCTCGGAATCCTCAAAATTCTCTTTAGTCACTTAAGCAACAGCGATTCACAGCCACAAATAATGCGTTGACACGACGAAAAGATACACAAACTATTCCCAAGCGAACCGATCACACTTCAGTACTTGTACTGTTTTTAAGAGCATGCTCATTGAGCAGACAAAAGAACACCAGAACCAGTATTGTCCATCAACTCACGTTCCACTTCGTCTGACGGCAGCCAAGAAGCTTAGAAAAGCAGCAGGCGACGAAGGAACTTGAAAATCAGGCCAAGTAGTATAGTGGAACTGAAGAACTTCACGGCAGTCTCCACTTGAAGTTTCCGTAACGAGAAGCGTACGAACAATATAGAAACCCTCTCCTCGCTCTTGAAGTAGCGTTATTTGAAGGCCAACGTCATCAAATATTTTAATTTTCCCTTTTTCCTCAGGCCAGTACTGGTGGCACTTCGGAACGTTGTTCTCAACAATTCGATTTAGCATCACAACTGCGCGTGTTCCTTGCTGCCAAATCATGAGCCAAAAGTGTCCACAAGTATTCTCCAGAGGGCCCTGACTCAAAATATACCTGAAAATATTGGCGCATTAGACATTACCCGCATCTTGCGATAAGAATTTAACAAACCGGCGATCCGCAAGCGGGACTTCCACAAGATTTGCGTTGATATAGTCCACATCAGAGTTCAGAAGAACGATTCGACTGTGATCGTAAGGACTGACATTACGATAACGGTTTAACGGTCGATTGCAGGGCTTCACAGATTCCTTGCTAGTCAATTCGGGGTTTCTCGAGTCCATTCCGATGCTGTTGAAAAGCGCGTGCCATCCTGTTCGTTGTGAATCGATTTCCTTGAATTCCCGTTCTAGATTGTCTAGAACGTCAATTCCTTCCCCAGGCATGGTGAACAACAAAATCCGTAGAAATCTATGACGATCAGGATGATATTCCAAAATGCTCCACTGATTCACTCAACAAGTTTTAGTTACATATTGAAGCACATATGAAAACGAGGCGTCTGTCAGTGGCAGATTCATGAAAGTTACCTTAACAGCGAACAAAGCGTCAAATGATAATTTTTTCACCATAAGTTTTTCATGTATCCTATCAGGAGAATAACACGAGGTACACATCAGTCAATTATTTCACGATACTGTATATCGGAAATTTGATTATCACAGCAACCACGCAACAATTAGTCCGAAAAGTATTCACTGTCGTTCGCATTGCCCATTTAAAAACCAAGAGGCAATCGTGAAGCACATCCGATTGTCTCAGTTATTTGCCCGCGGATTTGAGGACTTCCTACGACGACGAACATCTCTGGAGAAGCCTCACGTTGGTATGCAAATAACTTTTAGGGACCAAGATGTACTTCATACAAGAGCGACATCTATTTAAAAGTAATAATCTAATTCCTAGCTACCATTTCGTAGAGATTGCGTTCGCTTCATTTCTGTTCATAGATGCTGCTGGTTCATGAACGTTTTGGCGGCGCCATATTTTCTCAGAAGTTTTCACAAAATGCATAGAGCCTATGAAATCATTCTGCAACTCACTCACAGAGACGTGATCGATCGCACAAAGTACTGTACTGTACTGTATTTTTAAATTTTCCATGCATTGCTGCTGGTGGTAAAAAAAAACGCCGAAAATGGCGGTTAACAGTAATTCCAATGAGAAAATCACAATTACGACGCCGCGTCATAAAAGATGGGGATTCTTGAAAAATTGTAAATCCGCTTCTTTTTAATCCTATCTGATGCTGCTTGCTGGTAAATAACTCATAGAAAATTTAGTTATGCTTTATACCTTTATTGCTGCTGTTGATGAGCAACCAGCAGCATTCTAACAGTACTTCATATCTGCATGATATGGTTTGAAAGGACTGAAACTCAACATAAGATGTATACATTATTATATTGTACACTATTTTTCCTTCCTCAGGCCCTCATACAGCAGTCATCCATAATATTATGTCACACTCAAAATAGTTTCTCTGCATTATGAGTCACCTGCTGTAACTCAAATTTGTCTCAGTTGTCCATCCTTGTTCCACAAAACAATCACCCTTTGCTGAATTATATTCACAGATGATAACACAAATCAACTTCTTGACAGAGACTAACTCTGAATCATCAACAAGGAGTTGAGCATTTTCAGAAAATATTTTCAGGCATTGCATTATTTTCTTGTTCACTTTATTCATTATGGATACAGAAATATAACAGCACAGCAGCGTGAGTACCAACTATAACTGTACTACAGTACATGTACATTCTGCTGCTTGTCAAACTAATGTATACATGTTCCCTATTTTTCCTTCATCGGTTATTTGTTCATGCTTCAGCTGATATAAATGCTGGATTTTATATTTGCCAGCAGCAGCATCTTTGATGAAATCAGAGTTTATTATACAGCTGCTTATTAAATTGCTGGTCTCAATGCTTTGCTTGAAAATCTGTCAATTTTAATCTTCAAATTTCAATTGTGCTGACTTTTTGTCAAAACCAACATATCACAAAAATTTTTATCATAAGAACACATTTATTTTTATCAGAGCTTATTTCTCATCTGACCTCTTTATTCTTAAGTGCAGGAAACTTCAAGGGCCCAGCAGCAAAAACAAATTCCACTTCAAATTTTATAGACTGTATACAGTTCAGCAGTATATAAATGTATGCTAGGAAGATTTTGAGGTATTGCTGGGAAAACAAGCTTTGTTATGATTATCCTGGGGACTGGAAGAAAAATTAGTGGATCTTGTGATTGCATGATGATATTCTATGGGCCTTAAATTGCTCATTTAAAATGAGTTATATTTTTGACAGGATGTTGAACTTGTAGGCAAGGGTTATTCCTTTTCATCACATCAGTCTTTCACTATCACTTCCTTTCAAAATACATCTTTTTAATTGCTTTTCCTTTATCAATCCTGTATCAATAAAATAATAGCCAAAAGGACTCCTAAAAATTTTACTTGTTAAGGTTTGAGAGGGAAGGCCTTCAAAAGGTAGTGATGTTTTTGATGCATGATTTTTATGTAGAGGAATTCATGCTAGCATGGACTTGATTTTTTTTTAAAGGTATATAGGGAGGTATATTTGACTTATTATAGGGAGATTCAGAGTTATATACATTGTGTTTCAGTGGCTGCTAAATGTTTATTTATTTTTCATACAATCACTTCAACCAATTAGAATATAAAAAAAACAGGTGTGACAAGATATGGATGCTTTCTAAATTTACCCAAACAATATATAGCCATATATTGCTATACACCTTTCTGTATATGGGTATCACCCATTTTGAAGCACCCCAGTGTACCTGTTTCTTGATTGTCACCCATCATGTTACATCAGTTCTATATATACACAGGTAAAAACATGGGTAAAATATTTGCTGGGAAAGGGTACATACAGTACTATATTTTAATACCAGTGGAATATCAGCAGTTATTTTCAACAAATAATAGAGAAAATGCTTACATATAGATATAAAGAGCATTTTATGTGCATGTGTGTGTGTGTATGTGAGCAAGGGAGGGAGGGGCAGTTGCATACATAAAAATAAAGAGAGAGAGAGAGAGAGAGAGAGAGAGAGAGAAAGAGAGTAATTAAAAGGAAATGCACGTTACTCTCTACGTTTCCAGGGATAACAAAATAAAACAGATACAATGTGTACTCATGTACACTATTGTATACTTGTAAAGATATTTTATTTATATTATTGATATACTGTATACATCATAACACAAATGATATTTCTGCACTATTATAGGTATATTTGCTGCTGATTTATGCTGTAAATTGATTTATCATCATTATTCCAACTTAGAATAAGTGAAAGAACATTTTTTAAATGCATAAATCTTTAAAATGATTGTAAAATTAACCATTGATATTCTCAAATTACAACCACATTTATCTTTGTCCAAAAAATGTCAGAGTATATATACTGTTTTTAAAGAGAGTGCACTGCTGTATGACATACTTTTTAAAAAGATTTTTGTCTAAAAGGTCCTTGTAATATATGCTGTGTATAATGACAAAAAAAGTGAGGAGAAATACTCAGGACAAAATATCAAGCTAAAATACAACCAAATTTGGTTTTTGTATAAATTTTGCATTTGATAACAGTTTTTATTGAATTCCAGAAATTCTGTTCCATTTTTTCAGTGAAAAGTAAGCAAAAGTATGTAAAAAGGCAGCACAATAAGTGTCACTTAAGACAAGAACAATGTATGCATCAAGTGTTTATAAAATAATCTTACATAAATTGTACACATCCTAAGCTGTGAAACAAAGTTGCAGAATAGGATAATTTATTAAAGGAGAAATTGAAATTTTGTTTTCTGGATTATCTGTGGAAATAAATCTTCATCAAGTATACTTGCAATATTTCAAACCTATTTTATACTTATGGCTTTCAAAGTGTGTATAAAAGTTTGACAAGAGCCTGTGTATTTGTATTTTTCAAATATACAAATTCAATATGAGTGATGAATGTGAAGAGTTGTGTGTGGAAATGCTGATTCATATTGCTCTCATGAAAACACTTAAATAAATTGATGAAAATGCTTATTGAGTAACATTTTCAAGATGGACTGGAAAACTCAGAAAAAGGTAAATAATATTTCACAATGCAGGATGAAGAAGCACAAAATTCATTTTTTTCCTATATAGAAGGAGAACCAAATTTTCATGAGGACCATTATATTAAAATCCTATTTGATATTCACAGAACAAAACTATGTCCACTGTGATATTGTGTGTCAGATCTCAGTGGACATGGGTGTTGAAAGCCTTTTGACTAACTTAGCATGAGAATATCATCCCAAGTTTTTCTGTGTTAATATGCAAAAAGTTGTATTCTTTCAAATGACAAAATTTGACCAAGATTTTGTACTTTTCAAAGAATTTGATGACACTGAGGTAAATCCTGGCATGATGATGCATAAATGCAATCCATTATATATGCAGTGTACAAAATATCAGTCATTTTTTTCTTCTTGATTAACCATTTTCTCTGTTTTCCACAGGATTGTTGCCCCCAACCTTGTGCCAAACAAATCTTTTTTCAAAAATAATAAGTGTATTTATTGCTCACCTTTTTTTTTATTTTCTCATTCAGTTATTCCAACAATGTGGTGGTTAAACATATGTAAAGAAGGGAACTTTTAGGGAAAGTTTTCAGGATTCAATATCAACAACATAAATACTCACAGAAAATCACAAACAATCACACACATACTCAACTTGTGCAGCAGTGACCATATATAAATACAAACATTTTTTTTTTGTGTGCTTGGAATAAAAAAAGCAATAATAATAATAATAATAATAATAATAATAATAAAATGGCCAAGTACTTGCAATGGACGATTCCGCACTTGGCTGGCCAACTCCGCGAAAAGTTCATGACAGTGAGAGATAAGTTCCCCGAGAACCTGGCAGATGGCGCTCCAGGTCAGCCCAGCGAAAGGTCATCCTTTAGGAAGCAGCAAAGAGCTGGGTCATCAGCATCGGGTGGTGGTGGTGGTGGTGGTGATGATGATGACGGCGGCGGCGGCGGTGGCGGCTATGGCGGCACTGATCCCAGCAGAAGCATCAACGGCAGGATGGCGTCCATGGACTTTGCAGAAGCAGCTGACGAGTTTGGCAGGCCCATGAAGAAAGAGAACATTTCAGAGTGGCAAGCTGGCTGGAATGTCACCAATGCCATTCAGGTCAGTTGCTGCTTTATTGCCATCCATATCCAAGAATTTAAATAAATTGTTATTGGCGGAAATTATATAATCATTTCCCAATATATATTGCGAGAATATTCGCTGTCAAAGGGAATATAGATACTTGGTGCTATTCATATCACCAGGAAGAGACAATAGATTAATATATAAAACATATTAATATTCTTCCATTGCAGTACATGTGGAGTGACTGACAGACACAGACTGACAGACTTGTGGACAGCCCCCTGATGATGTGCAGACCCCTGACAATGCGTGCATAGAAACCCCAGCACATGGCAACCCCTTAACTGTGCAGTAACCATTGGCACGTGTCGATCATTAAATAATACCTGTACACGCGCACACAGCAGGTGTCCTACTCCCCTTCTGAATGTACCCCCAATCCTGCGGTATATAAACTCCTGGCAGGATTAAGGAAGACAGGCATTTTAGCTCAGGAGACAGTACAGTTCAGAAGTCATCAGATCCCTGTGTCTTGTGGTTAATATTGTGTATACTGCGCTATTGAGTAAAAGACTATTTTTGTCTGGCAAGACTATTAGTACTTAATCATTTCCACACCTCAATTAAAAGGAAATGCACGTTACTCTCTACGTTTCCAGGGATAACAAAATAAAACAGATACAATGTGTACTCATGTACACTATTGTATACTTGTAAAGATATTTTATTTATATTATTGATATACTGTTAATTAAAAGGAGACGCACGTTACTCTCTACGTTTCCAGGGATAACAAAATAAAACAGATACAATGTGTACTCATGTACATTATTGAATACTTGTAAAGATATTTTATTTATATTATTGATATACTGTGTACATCATATCACAAATGATATTTCTGCACTATTATAGGTATATTTGCTGCTGATTTGTACTGTAAATTGATTTATCATCATTATTCCAGCTTAGAATGAGTGAAAGAACATTTTTTAAATGCATAAATCTTTAAAATGATTGTAAAATTAAATATTGATATTCTCAAATTACAACCACGTTTATCTTTGTCCAAAAAGTGTCAGAGTATATATACTGTTTTCAAAGAGAGTGCACTGCTGTATGACATGCTTTTTAAAAAGATTTTTGTCTAAAAGGTCCTTGTAATTATATATGCTGTGTATAATGACAAAAAAAGTGAGGAGAAATACTCAGGACAAAATATCAAGCTAAAATTCAACCAAATTTGGTTTTTGTATAAGTTTTGCATTTGATAACAGTTTTTATTGAATTCCAGAAATTCTGTTCCATTTTTTCAGTGAAAAGTAAGCAAAAGTATGTAAAAAGGCAGCACAATAAGTGTCACTTAAGACAAGAACAATGTATGCAGAGCAAAATCTGTAAATTTGGCTGCATTAACACTATTATTCTTGTGGGATATATTTTATATTTGTTGGAGGAACTTATTATTGGAATAATGCCACAAAAAGCCATTATTTTTGAGACCTGGATAGAAAGCCTTTGATGTAATGTGAAATACTTCCTTATAAGACATGATAAAATAAACATTGGGATGACCTCTTTTGTAGCTGGTTTTTTTTTCAGAAGGGAAATGGGTTTTACCTCACTTTCTCTCCAAATTTCTGATTTTTTCAAACTGTTATTTGTACTTGCTCCTTTTCATTATTCCTTTACACTTCTGTCCTATAAATATACTCTGATTATATGTTCTCTTCATATATGAAAGCAGTATTTGAAAAAATTTTTTGATTTGATTTTTAAATCTGTGATTCATCAAGATCCTTTTTGTTTTATTCTTGCTCTTCCACATGTGAAACTGTTTATAGCACAAGGATTGTTGTGTGATATGTATGATTATGACTGAGTTTTATAATCTTCATATCTCCCATATTTTTTCTTGTTGCTGTCATAGGGTATGTTTGTGGTGTCACTGCCCTATGCTGTGCTCCATGGGGGTTACTGGGCCCTGATTGCACTCATGGGGGTAGCACACATTTGCTGCTACACTGGCAGAATCCTGGTGGACTGTCTGTATGAAGAAGGAGAAGATGGATCCTTGGTCAGGGTCAGGGACAGTTATGCCAGCATTGCTGTTGTGTGCTTTGGTCCCAGGTTTGGAGGAAAACTTGTGAGCACTGCCCAGGTAAACAATAATAGATGAAACAATTTTGAAAAGTTATAGACATGTCTCAACTCTGTGTGGTGGCCTCAAGAAAGTTTTTAAACAAGTTATTCTTGGCTATATGTATAATATTATTGTGTAGTGAAAGCCCTGTATGCCCTGTATATGAGGGGTTCTGCTTTTTTTCTTCTTCAATTCTAGCTTGTAGTACAGTATTATATCTATATAAACAGTAACTTTGAATTTTTAATTGAGGATGAAATGAGAGTGAGTATTGTGCAAATGACCAGGAATCCTGCTCTAAAACCACTTGATATCCACCAATAAAAGAAGATTGATTTGGTATCATCCAGCTTTTTTGTAAAAAAAAGTTAGCTTTCTCAAAAACTGGAAGTTTGAAAACAAGCTCCTATTTTAAAATGACCTGCAGCATGTCTTTTTCATCTGAGCAGGGAAGGGCTTAAATCATTTTTCTATTAAAGCTTACTGATTTGAAAATTTGCACACACTCTGTAAAATATGATGAACAACGCTTGCATCTTACATTGTGGATTGTCCATAGCATTCAAATTCAAGTTTTTTTTTTAAAAGAAGAATGCAGACACCTTAAACTTTTCCAACCAATTGCATTTTTACTCTCCTCATCTCTCATTTGCCTTCAAATTTGAGGTTAATTTTACTGAAATGTTTGGTAAACAATTTTAAAAAAAAATCCTAAATCCTAAAAACCTGTTGTTGCATAAAGTCATAGTATAGCAGTACATATGGGGACAACCCATTATTGAGGTTGATTGCTTGAGTTAGATTTGCCAAATTGGAGAATTCCATGATGTGTGAGTGAAAAGAAAGGAAAGAGATGAACACAATTTTTTTAATGTTGGATATTTTATTATTAATTTCAGGTGATAGAGCTACTGATGACATGCATACTGTATGTGGCCATGTGTGGAGATCTGATGCACTTCAGCTTTGAGTTTGTGGCAGTGGATATCAGGAGCTGGATGATGATTTGTGGAGTGGTCTTGTTGCCATGTGCTTTTCTTAGGGACTTGCACATGGTGTCCACACTGTCTTTCTGGTGAGTATACCTATATATTTTATTTGTGAATCTGTAGAAAATATGATCATGATGCTGGAAGTGCCACCTTATTTATGGAAAGTGGTAATTTCTCATTCTATTCTGTGTGCCAAGCACACCATTTGAAAATGGGATGGTGGAATTTGTATTTGAACATGATCTTCATTTGTAAAATTTATATGTGAAAATGAGCTGTAACTTTGATTCATTTTTTTTCTTATGTCAGGAGTTTTATTGGTTATGGTTATCATATGTCATTGTGAATTGAATTTAGGAATCTCTCTATTGTTTCAAAATGGCACTTCAAAAATGTATTCTCAATAGTTCAAAATAAGGAGGCATTATTTTACTTTTCATCATAACAAGAATGGCTGCATAAATCAGATAGACCTCTCTTTTGTATTCAGGGTCACTCATCAAGATAAAATATCCCACAAAACATATAAAGAAGAATATACTGTAATTCCAAGAGTAATACAATACACACCATGCTCAAATGAACAATGAATGTTCCTGAACTTGACTGGAGTATATATTTTTGTTCATGAACAGGTGAACAGAATTTACACAGGAAATGTTTTCTGCAAAAAAATAAGTCATGCACATTCAAAAAAATTTCCCATTGCCACTTTATTTCCTTGAGAAAAAATTATGCATTTGAGAAAATATTGAGTTTAAACTACAGCAATTTCATGCCCAAATAAATGCTGGGTTCCAAGATGTCAAGAAGGGGAAATTTCCCCTGAGTATGCAGCAGTAGTTTTTAGTTCTAAATATTGATATCAGTTGTATGCACACAATTTCATATTAATGTGCTAACTTGCTGAGATAGACATGTTCTGAGGATTAACAAAAACTTATTGTAAAGTTGTCCTTATGTATACTAGGATGGATTTAATATGTGCTTCCATCAGAACCTTCTGGATATGAATCATGTTTTTCAGTATATAACTCATCCTCTCTTTGAAAAGGGATTAACTTTGTTATGTTGAGATCCATCATTGTCTTGTCATAATAAGCTTGAAACTGTGTTGACATAATGCATCATATGTATGCCAGGTGCACAGTGGCCCATGGGATAGTGAACATCATCATCTTTGGCTACTGTCTGACCTGTGCTGGGGACTGGGGCTGGGGTGATGTTGACCTGGGCTTAGACCTGGAGAAGTTCCCCATTGCCTTGGGCCTCATAGTGTTCTCATACACATCCCAGATCTTCTTGCCCACCCTGGAGGGCAACATGAGGGATCCCACCAAGTTTTGGTGCATGCTCAAGTGGAGCCACATTGCTGCAGGGGCATTCAAGACTCTTTTTGCCTATGTGGGATTCATGACTTTCAGGTTTGTTTCAAATATAAACAATGGTGTACCCTTTTACAATGCATGTCTCATATAATGAACTATATATCTTTGCACATTGGATGGCTTATTATTGGGCATTATTAATTTTGACTGTGTGCCATATATTGGGCAGCAAACATACTTAACTTCCAAGTACTGTATAACACAAGTCACAAATAAAACACATGAACTTTCTCAGAAAAGCAATGTTTAAACTGTATACATATTTGTGGCTGCCAACACAATTTTGCTAGTTGGTTAGTTACCAGACTAACAGCAATGCCATTTGAACCTGGAACATTATTCCATGCTGCATAATTTGTTACAATAGCTAGATTTGGAAAATATAATGTCAAAACTCCCAGGAAGTTGAGTCAAATGAACCAGAATTTAAAAAAGCAGAACCTAGCTGGAATAGAGCATAATTCAATTAATCAAGGCATGCTTGCAGATTACTTTTTCTTGTTTATTTTTCAGGCATAATTAAATGATGTATGTTTTTTCTCTTGAAAAAGGTTCAAAACTAAGGATGCAATCACAGACAATATGCCAGTGGAAATCAGGAGATTTGTCAACATGGTTCTGGTGGTGAAGGCAATGCTCTCATACCCACTGCCTTACTTTGCTGCCATTGAAGTTCTCCAGGTGGGGTTATATACAAAATACATTTTCATTTCATTTTCATTATCTTCTGTTTTTTTTCTATTGGAAAACAACTTAAAGTCCAAGACTCACTTCACATGAGTTAATATTATGAGCTTTGACATTTTAATTTGTCATCATGTATCCCTGACTGCTGATGAACTTTAATTAAGGAAAATATAAGAATTTGAAACTTCAGGTATAAAGTTATTTGGTCCAGATACCCAAGAAAAACCAATGGATATACTGCAGTGGGCACATCAGATCTTAATGGAATATATCAGAGATTAGCCTCAGCAGAGGAAAAATTCAAATCAAACTTCCAGGATATATATACAGGTGCTGGTATAGCTCACAATTTGACCTCCCACAATTCAACCAACCTGCAATTTGATGGTCAATTTTGCAGGGAGGTTGACTTGCAATTTGACCTCTGCCCTGCAATTTGACCTGCTTTGGCCACTTTTCTAATAATTTTAAGCTGATATTTCTCAATTTAACAAAGTGCTGTTGTGAATTTCACCCAGTTTGCAAATTTTACCTTAGTCTGGCAATAAAAGTATAAGTGTTGTATAATAGATCGTGGATATGTATTTAAGTTGATTGAAGAGCTTGATTCCCAACAACAAATATGCATGTCATTTTGGATCTGTGAAAAATTTGAGTCTGACACTATAATTGGAGACTTGAGCAATTTCTTGATATACATATTGGACAATGTTCTATATATGTTGGATTGATGTGTCATATAATGTTGCTGCTTATATAATAATACACACAGATGGGGCTGTTTATGGGAAAGCCAGCAACACTGTTCCCATCCTGTGTGGACCCAGACTCTGAAGTGAGGGTGTGGGCCATGGCCCTGAGAGTTGGCCTAGTGGTCTTCACTGTGCTGTCAGCCATTTCCATCCCACACTTCAATGTACTCATGGGTCTCATTGGCTCTTTCACTGGCACCATGCTGTCCTTTGTGTGGCCCTGCTACTTCCACCTCAAGCTCAAGGCCCATGTCATGACACCATCTGAAAGGGCTTATGACTACTTTGTCATCTTTCTTGGGGTGCTGTTTGGAGTTGTTGGCATCATAGACTCTGGTCGTGAAATGGTGCACAAGTTCCAGCTTGGTCTGCCCATTTGAGGTGCCAGCATCATCACCACAAGGAGAGGACCATCATCAATAATAGAGATCCAGTTTACCACAACCAGTATAGCTTTGTTTGCTGCTGCAGAGAGTGACCATTTTATCCTTATTATTCTTTGTTCTGTGTTATAATGTTCATTTATGTCCAGTTTTCCCACCAAATGTTTGCAGCTACTGATGTATTGTATGTCTTCCGCGCAAGCAAACACCATGAGATGAGATGAGAGAGAAAAGAAAACAGAGTCTTCCAGAATTCACCAAGAAAAATGACCCAACCCTGGCTTTTTTGGACCAGGAAACCAGACAAGACCTTGTTTTCTTCCTGTGTTATATAGGAAATCTGCAATCATTGAATCATTTTCAATATCTATTGATATACTCATTTTAATGGCCATTGATTGTTTCTAAGTTCAACTGCAAAAGGACACAGTAACAATAAATGTCCCTCCTTCTATATACTGTATAGTTTCTAAAATGGACATACAGCTTCACAAATTGTATTCAAAGATTCTATTCCCAGAAAAAAGCAAAGCGGTGTTTGATAATTAATTTTGTCTTCCTTTGACATTCAAACAAGGTTTATCAATTGACTTTCAGTAGCAACATGAATAACTAAGTGATTACCAACAATTTTTAGAACAGGTCTGAGAAGTTTCTGTACCAATTAACTAATTTGAGTATAAATTACGTTTCTTCATTCTGCTGAGGAGATATAAAAAAAGAAGTCCCAAAGTTGAGAAAAAAGTAACCTCATGATATATTTCAGAAGATTATAATGTGTGTTTATGGTTGTGTTTAACTTATTTGTTCCTTCATTAATTTTTTATGCTTTTCATCCAGCTCTCACATATACTTGTGAAAAATAAGTAACTGTATGCTGCTGACTTTAACAATGACAGTTTTTATTGTGAGTCTATCTAAATTTGATTTATATAATTAATTCAAATCTTCCCAAATCATTCACTCAAAGTTCAAAGAAGTTCCCTGCAAACAGCAAGCCAAATGATGGAACTCAAGTTTATGTTGTGGACCTTAACACTCAAGGAAATAGGAAAGATTAGCCTTAAATATTTTTCAGTAAAATATTACATTCACATAATTGCTTAGTAAAAGTGCAAACAGAAGCAAAAGAATGTGAAACACTTGTGGTGTGAAAAGTTACTGTAGAGTTCATTTTAAAATTGTCTTTTAAATGATTTATTGATAAATTTTTCTAGTTTGCTAAAAAAAGCACTTTGTTGATGTATATATGTATTCAAAGCATAAAGTTTGACTTAATTTTTTTATAAAATCAGCTAGTATAATATGTCAGGAGCTTATTCATCTGTTCAAATGGCATTATAGGTACAAATAAAAAAAAACATGCAGTTGAACATCATTCAACAACAAACATTGAAAATCACAGCATGACATTTGATGCCAATTTAATCATTTGGAATTTTTCATGAGTATGAATATCTGGATTGAGTTTTGAAATATTGAAATTTACTTATTTTACTGTTTAAAAAAATGGTCTTTTCAAGCTAACCCAACCTTGAATACTGTATTGAAAGAGTATAGGTGAGATGGATATCTTTGACATGCTTGAGGCATGAAAAAAAAAAGGGTTCAGGCTACATATACTGAGTGAAATTGCATGTGAATAAAGAATGCATATATATCTTCCAAAGTGCCTCTTCTTGATGGATTTTGTACAGCAACACACAATTAGATCATATATAGTGAGTTCTTCTTGGCACTGGAGATTTGAATAGCACTTGAATTTACTGAACCTATATTTTGCACTATATTTTGCTGTTTTGAATGGTATTCAACTTTTTGACATTCAAACAAGGTTTATCAATTGACTTTCAGTAGCAACATGAATAACTAAGTGATTACCAACAATTTTTAGAACAGGTCTGAGAAGTTTCTGTACCAATTAACTAATTTGAGTATAAATTAAGTTTCTTCATTCTGCTGAGGAGATATAAAAAAAGAAGTCCCAAAGTTGAGAAAAAAGTAACCTCATGATATATTTCAGAAGATTAATGTGTATTTATGGTTGTGTTTAACTTATTTGTTTCTTCATTAATTTTTGATGATTTTCATCCAGCTCTCACATATACTTGAGAAAAAGAAGTAACTGTATGCTGCTGACTTTAACAATTACAGTTTTTATTGTGAGTCTATCTAAATTTGATTTATATAATTAATTCAAATCTTCCCAAATCATTCACTCAAAATTCAAAGAAGTTCCCTGCAAACAGCAAGCCAAATGATGGAACTCAAGTTTATGTTGTGGACCTTAACACTCAAGGAAATAGGAAAGATTAGCCTTAAATATTTTTCAGTAAAATATTACATTAACATAATTGCTTAGTAAAAGTGCAAACAGAAGCAAAAGAATGTGAAACACGTGTGGTGTGAAAATTACTGTAGAGTTCATTTTTAAAATTGTCTTTTAAATGATGTATTGATAAATTTTTCTAATTTGCTAAAAAAAAAAGCACTTTGTTGATATATAGGTATTCAAAGCATAAAGTTTGACTGAATTTTTTTTTTAAAAATCAGCTAGTATAATATGTCAGGAGCTTATTCATCTGTTCAAATGGCAATAGGTACAAATAAAAAACAAACATGCAGTTGAACATCATTCAACAACAAACATTGAAAATCACAGCATGACATTTGATGCCAATTTAATCATTTTGAATTTTTTCATGAGTATATCAATATCTGGATTGAGTTTTGAAATATTGCAATTTACTTATTTTACTGTTTAAATAAATGGTCTTTTCAAGCAAACCCAACCTTGAATACTGTATTGAAAGAGTATAGGTAAGATGGATATCTTTGACATGCTTGAGGCATGAAAACAAAAAAGGGTTCAGGCTACATATACTGAGTGAAATTGCATGTGAATAAAGAATGCATATATATCTTCCAAAGTGCCTCTTCTTGATGGATAAACATGTCGTTGTGTGTTAATCTAGTATATATCACTCAAGAAGAACCGTGACCTCTAAACTTATCGTGAACTTAAATGACTTGGATATAAAACGTGATATAAAACGACAAAACTTACCATAAGTTGAGCACAGTCATGAATTAAAAAATTGCATTCTGTATATTTATAGGGTTTTTGGAATTGAAGGAATCCTTGTTCAACACATTATTAATGTACAGTAATTAAAATCATCAGTCATTTGAAAAAAAATTGAAACTTCATCATGTACATTATATTATGTATAATGTAGGCCATACTATGAAATACTTAGGTTCCAGTTTTGTCACTTAAGTTACATTATTTGTGCTGGTTTTTATTTAGCTTCCATCAGTTGCAAACACCATATTATTGTTCATTGAACCCCCATCTATGAGAGTATTCCTATTTCAACAAAATAAAGAAAGCTGCATATGTCATGTATTAGTGTTTCCTACAGTAAATCTTCCTGCCAAAAAAGAAAAAATGGATTGGAGACTCAAGCAGGTAATGCTTGAATTGAATGGCTGTTTTCAAAAACATTTCTAGCAGAATCAGTCATGCATGTAATTTGTCTGAATGAAGGAATCTGAGATTTTCTCAATATCATCCAAGATTTTTGCTGGACTATAATAAACTAATTTTAGTCTAATCTTCTTCTTTCAATTGAAGGTGAATTTTATTGTGGCCAGAATAGCATCAGGAATGAAAAATGTCTTTAACTTTTCAAATTATAGAAAGCCATTCTTGAAAAGATCATTTTGCTTGAAATATTTGTTCCATGATTTTGTTGCATATTTTTCAGAAACTTGCTGTATTACAAATCAGATAAAAAACCTATTTTTCAATAAATTTCTCCCCATGGATAGAAATTTGGCTTTCTATGTTAAAAAATGATTGCAAATTTGGCAGGCTTTGGGAAGAAGACCAAAGTTTTTTTGGTTTCCTGTAAAAAAAAAGGCCAGGGTGACATTTGCAGCCTTGAAGTATTCAGACCCATTTTTGGGGCACTTTCATGTTTTTCAAGAAAAATGAAAATTTTGCAAGTGTATGGGGTATATGCATAACAAGGAAAATGTGTTGTTAGGTGTTGGAAACGGATGTCTTCCTTTGAGCAAATTTTGCCACAGATCCATATCTTGTCTTCCAAAAAGAGAGAGAGAAACACAAGCTTGTGTTTTGGGAACATCAAGTTTTTTCTTGTATTCATGAGCATGTTTTAGGCCAACAAAGAAGGTGATGGATATAATAAAAGAGATGTTGGATGATGATCATCATCATTTGAAAAGAAGGGAGAAAAACAAATGGGATTTTTCATTTCAAATTTCAATTTTATTTACAGAGTGTTGCATCAGTGGCCAAACCCTCAAGACTATTTCTTGAGCAATATACAATGACTCATGTTTTGTGTGTAGCTGGATTTTTCTGATAGAAATTTCATCTCAACAGTCCATTTAAAAGGCCCAAAACTTTTTTGTTTGCTTTCCATGATCTCTAATAAAGGAAGTCATTCTGGCATTTATTCAATATTCACAGTGAAATCCTATCATAATAAAAATCCATAATAAAATTCCCCATCATCAGTTTGGAATGATAGATTGGATATTTGTTTATTGCAATAATTTTGCCCAAGACTATTCTCTTGCCTGATCAATGTCCATCAACATTGACTGATTATTTTCACATCAAATTATAATATTTTGCTTCAGAGCTTTTTAATCAAAGACACACACACACTCAGTGAAGCAGAAGAAAATATTTGATGCTGGCATCTGATGTTCAAGCAAAACCCAGCAGCTGTATGATGGATTCTCATTTTCCAAGTTGAGCTGCAAGAAAGCAGATAAGCCACAAAAATGACTTGGTTGGTGTATCATGATTTTCTGCTGAGGATTCAAATGTGGCCTTTTCCCCAGCAGTTGTGAAGGATGTTGTTTCAGTTGAGACAGTGGAACTGTTACCAAGGGTGCTGGTCTATTGGATGGTGGTGCTTGGCATGGTGGTGGTGGTGTTGGGAATGAGAGTGGTGGTGGTTGTGAGGTCCTGGTGGTAATAAAAACATGTGCTCAAAACTTTTCAATCAATTTATAACTATTTGTGAACAGCTGACTGAACACCTTGTGTCACTTCACCATACACTTGCTGCTCAAATTGCTGCCCAATAACAAGCCAATGAAATCTCCTTCAAGAAGTGAAATTCTATGCAAAGTTTTCCAACTGAAAATCATTATTGTATGATCTGTATGTTAAAAGTGTTTGTGAAAAGATAAAAAACATATTGACTCTGCATTTTGTTGGATCTATATACAGTCCCACCTGGCTGCACACTAGCCAAATGAGGTCTACTTTTGATTTCATTCCAGTCTCAGTGACATCTGTTGTCTGTTGGAGAACCACTCCAGGCTCACAAGCACTCTCCTCTAGAATTATTGACCTGACACCTACACCAAAAATGCCTCTAGTGCAATTTCAACCAAAACATGCGTGGCTTGGTATTAACTCTTCATAAATTCTATTCCACACAGTTCTGAATTTCTGTGATATTTTTTTTAAATACCATACAACACTTAGTAAAAAATCCTATACGTCCTTACACAAATGTCATTTACCAAAACACACGGACCCAACGCCCCCACCATAAGGTTACTTCGTATGAGATATGGGTGGAAATTTTTGGTAAAAAATTAGCAATTTTTGAACCTTGTGAAAACTGACAGTAAAAAACAACAAAAGATCTTGTACAGTTGGGGTCTTGGCTTGAAAATTGAATGTATTGCAGAGAGCAAATTTTTTATTCGATTAGCTTATTAGCTGATTCATGTTTTCTCTTACTGAAAAATACACAAGACAAAGTTAATGATAATTCCAAAAGATTCACATTGATTTTGGGACACACAGATCAGATGATTAAAAATAATTTAGAATCCTGAATAGCATCAGGAGTTCCTAATTTTATTTTTGCTAGTTGGCATTTTCTTCTTCTGTCAACACTTGATTGTTGGGTCTCTCTATATATACAGTACATGGATGTGCTTTTGCACGACCAATAATTTGTTGCTGGAAAAAATCTTTGTTTGTCATAATGGTGCAATATTTTATATCCTTTGACTTTTAATTCAATATACTGTGGAGTATTTTATATATGGTGTATGAACGTCGCATTTTCCTCTTCTAAAAGAAAGCATTTATTACAGCTGATGGGGCCTGTTTATGGAACATAATTGAAATTCGACTTTTCCAGCACTCTCTCAAAAAAGGTTGAGAACTATAAATGTAACCAAAATCTACGTTCTTTTAAAATGTATGCACAGCAGCAGATAATTTGCGTATCATGTGCACTGCGAATACGGGGACAAGTTCTGTCATGGAAAAGCCCACCGCGCATCGCTCCATTACCGTCGCATTGAGTGAGTGCAAGTGCCATGCAACCCCTGCAGAATGCGAAGGCCACTCAATTCTGTCAACGGTAGATGTCGCTAAGTTTTTGAGAATGCCCGTCTGACCTGTGATGGCTTGCAGGGGCATAACAGAAAAACGTATTCATTTGTTTAGAGACCGCGTCCGATTCCGATGAAAACACTCCCGCTGCTACGTTAATTGAATGATGTTTAAAGAGGTATGCTGCAATGTATTCACTAACAATTTGAAACAAATATACGATGGCTTCGTCAGACGAGCGGAGAGACTGCATAGAAAATGTTGAGGTCATTATCGATGCACAGTAAAGGAGTCGAAAACCCGTTTTCTTAGAGCGAATTTCGTTTTGAAATTAAGCCATCATGCTGAATGCAGTAATGAACGGCGCCTTTGTACGATATAATTCTTTTGTGAGGTCGCACTCTGTATAACTTCTATAGCTTGTGCGCCAAATAATTTCAGACGCTATATCACCATAATAGTTTTGGGATACGTGGCGGATGTGGAAATAGGATTTATGTGCTGAGTTGTACTCAAAGAAAATAAAGCCTTGATTTATGGAGAAGCTACTGTGGATGTCTCACGAGAAAGTCTTCTGTGATCAGTGGCATTTCAGAATCCAAGTTAATGAAGTGAAATACTGTATTGTAATGGCATCAAACATATTTGAACGGCCAAGTGCCGAACTATGAGGGGCCTGTGTGGAATATCTCCAAGCTCAAGACGTTATCCACCTTGTCTCAGAAATTTTCGAAGAGCTGCCGTTGGTTGCTCAGTGCTTCAACATGTCTAGACCTACTAATGTGGGATATGCTGAATGCAAGAGGGGATATGAAGTTGTGAAATTCTTAACTTCAGTGTCCACAGTGTCGGGAAGCACGTTTCACGAAAACATAATCCACGGTAATCCATATCGAGGACCTTCATACTTCTCCTGACAGAGATAGTTGCTTTCTAGTGTCGGTGTTTGCCTTCGTAGTAAGTTTTTGAGATGAACTTGTCTTCCTTCGGGCATCCCGTGCTTGTGCCATTCGAAGCTGTTCGAAAATAACTCAACTATGTCAAGATGATGAAACTGAGTGAGACACCTGAAACAGACGAGACTCCTTTAACAGTCATGGGAGAAGACTGTCGAGTAGAATTGGACGAGCGCGACCTTCTCATCGGTCAAACGAGGAAGCGTCGCAATTTTCTCCACCGTTGCTTGTGTATGCTCTGTCTGTAAGTTGTGCAGAAATCGGATGCATTCGAAACTTCCATGTTTGCTGTGCATGTTACCTTCCTTAATCTTGTTAGCAATTGCTGTGCCGAAGATGAGCCTCAGTCGAGAGCGATATATATTGGGAGTCGCCCCGCGGAGCACTATCCACCAAACGTCATCAGAAACCAGAAGTACAGTGTCCTCTTCTTCGTTCCATGTGTGAGTAACCGACTACATGCTGCTCTGTTTTATATTAGAATTCAAATCCTTCATTGACTGGCCTGCTGCGTGATAATTCTGAATCAATGCGGAAAGTACTCAAGCGTGCATGAAATGGCCAGTTTTAAGGAATGCTAGGATATTCACGTTTTTAGTGAAATACTACCGCTCCCAGACTAACGATTGCTTGAACCCTATTGGGACCACTTGTCTGGGTGGTGATTTTCTTTAGGAATCCACTCTTTAACAGAAACGGTGCCTCGTCGATTGTTTTGGAAGTAAATTTCGGATAATAAATGATTGCGCAATACAAGTTGATAGTTATTGCTAGAATGTACGTTTGTGACCTATCGTTTCAGGTGCTGATAAACCAATTCAAGTTCTTCTTGAACTTGTACTTCTTAATACTCGCCGTGACGCAGTTCTTCCCCGCCGTGCGAGTTGGGTATTTGTATACCTACTGGGGTCCATTGGTACGCCAATAGCATGAATTGTCGGTCTATTACTTCTAACTCAGAGTGTTTCCTCGGCTTTTGAAGGGCTTTGTCCTTCTTGTGACGATGTGCCGAGAGGCTGTGGACGATTTTCGGCGATATCAGAGAGACAAAGAGATAAATGGTCAAGTTTACACAAAACTCGTTCCAAGCGGCCATGCTTCGATAACCAGCGCAGAGATTAAAGTGGGAGACTTGCTTTACGTTCAGAAGGTTTGATTCTGCTTCGCATGTCGTCAGCGGTATATATAATCCCGTTGAAACTTTTCTACAGAATCAGAGAATCCCGGCGGATTTGATCCTGTTGAGAACCAGCGAGAAGAGCGGAACATGTTTCATCAGAACTGATCAGTTGGACGGGGAAACCGATTGGAAACTTCGACTCCCAATTTCTGCCCTCCAGAAGCTCGGTTTCGACGAGGAAACCCTTGATGTAGACGCTGTTGTCAGTGCCGAACCGCCAAAGCAGGATATTCACTCTTTTCTTGGAAATTTTCAGATCGTAAGTTCTTCAAACCGTATTTTGAAACTGAACTGCCACTTTTTGTGTACATCATCTTCCCGCTCTGTTCTCTAATTCAGAAACCACTCGTTTATTAACTAGCGAACTTCAAGAAAGGTTTATTCATCACCGTAATTGTAATGTAAATTTCTGTTAATTTGTCTGTTAATTCCTACCGACAAGTATTTTTCTTTTTCAATTACGGGTATGGGACGAAAACTCTGTTTGCTACTGACTTCTAATTGTATAATGACGGAATGGTGCTTGTTGCATGTGCGTACCTTGTGGGTTTGTGGAGCGATTCTAATTTCGCGTTAATTTAAATTTAAAATATTTTTGGTTTTATCAATTCAGAGAAATCAAGATGGTTCTTCAGAAGAAGAGTCACTTGGGCTTGAGAACACACTATGGGCAAATACTGTTTTGGCCAATGGCACAGCACTGGGGTTGGTTGTGTACACTGGAAGAGAGACCCGTTCGGTGATGAACAATTCCTCACCCAGAAGCAAAGTCGGGCTTGTGGATTTGGAGATCAACTTCTTGACAAAGATACTTTTTGGAACCATGATCGCCATGTCTCTGGTTATGGTTTTGCTGAAGGGAAACCGAGCTTATTGGTATCAATATCTCGTGCGCTTTGTGCTGCTCTTCTCATACATCATCCCGCTAAGGTATAGTGGATCAATTTCTGGGTTTTTTTTATGAAGAAATTTGCCCTGAAATGGTGTTCTCGTAGAATAAATCTGCGCTTAAATAAGTTCTCTGCGAATTGAAAGAAAAAGAAGAAGTGAACACAGCAACATCAGTTCGTCCCGGAATAACTATCATGAGAGCTAATTGAGCAGGTCGTATCAACTTGGCCGAATTTATGCAACCCGAATGAAACGTGTGTGCTCGGAATTTTCTTGCGCTTGTTCCTTTCATTCCTCCTCTTGCCGCGTACAGTCGAACCTAAGGTAGCAGCAAACAAAATTAATTTAAGGAAAGTTTCGAGTCAGGGAACCAAGCATTTTTGTTAGAGGAAACAAAGAACAATTACAGGAAATTGTAAATGGTGATATTGTAGGCCTTGAATCGCCACTCAAATGAGTTGACAAGATGTTGAACTTGAAGGCAAGGATTTGTTTGCCCAATTATTCTTAAACTTCTTTTTGAAACGCATCAAATTACATTTTCATTGCTTTACTCTTTCATTTGTCACAGAAATAACGACCAACTGGCTTCCAAAAAAATCGATTTATGGAGGTTTGAGGCGGAAAGCCCTTGAGTTGGGGAGGTTTCGTAATGCTTTTTCTGAGGGAATTCAGACACGGACTTGAAAAAATATTCGACATCTCTCAAAGAACTTAGTTGACTCTTCGCTTCGGACACTTATTTTGATTCATTTTTTAGCCTTAAGAATGACACCTGTTCGCCCTAATCGATGAATTTGGAATCCTGATGTTTGTTTCAGTTTGCGTGTGAATCTGGACATGGCCAAAATCTTCTACTCGTGGTCAATCATGAAGGATAAAGAAATGCCGGAAAATGTTGTGCGTTCCACGACCATTCCAGAAGAGCTCGGCAGGATCGGCTACGTGTTGACTGACAAAACCGGGACTTTGACCAAGAACGAAATGGTGATGAAGAAGTTCCACGTCACTTCCGAGGGTTATTCTTCGGAAAGTTTCTGTGAACTAAGAGACCTTGTCAAGAAGTCTTCTGAAAGCAAAGAAGACCGAGATGCCCTGCAGTTTCATGACAGCAATTCGAGGTTTGAAAGAGCCAAGGCTCGGAAGGCGGCACTCGTTGGTGAGGCGGTGAAAGCTGTGGCTTTGTGCCACAATGTCACTCCGATCGAAGACGATGGAGAGTCGAGAACATATCAGGTTAGATTTCTTGCTTCTGAACTGAAGTGAATCAATCTATGATGCGAATCATGCGATATAATGCTTTAGAATCCACGTAAAAATCTGCTATGAATTGAAGTTACCGTGTCAATTTCTGCTAGTCAAAAACAATTTTTTTTCGAATCCGTCGAATTGAACGATCTCCATTGATTCTCCTTAGTCTTTCGAAGTTAGAATGTTTTTCGATGCCAACAGGCTGCGAGTCCGGACGAAATAGCATTAGTTCAGTGGACGGAAGCAATGGGCATGAGTTTGACTGCTCGAGATTTGACAAGAATGACGATAGTGGATTCCTGGGGGAACGAACATCACTATGAAATTCTCATGGTATTCCCCTTCACTTCCGAAACGAAAAGAATGGGAATTATTTTGAGGGTAAGTGTTTCATTCGAAGATACATAAAAAAAAAAAACCTGCACCAGTTGATCTCATGGAATAGCCTGATTTTTACGTTGCATCATTCGAATCCTTAGGACGAGGAATCGGACAAGATCGTTTTCTATTTGAAAGGGGCGGATATCGTGATGGTGGAAATCATCCACTATTGCGATTGGCTGGAAGAAGTTGTGGATATGATGGCGAACGAGGGCCTGAGAACTTTGGTGGTGGCCTCCAAAACATTGACGAAGAAGCAGTACCAGGACTTCGAGGTACAATATTATCATTTCTTTCATTGACTGTTCTTGAACCCAAACGGTGTCGATGTAACGAACGTCGGACGACGTCGAGTTGATGAAAAAGAAAAATCAAGTCAAGATGATGATTGAAGTAAGTATAATCTCGTTACAACTAAGCGATTGGGACCTTGAAAAAACATTATTGTGAGCGAAAATTCGTTAAATTGAAATTGAAATAACGTTGTGGCTTCTGGACTGGGGCAAAAAAAATTTATTATTTGTGTGAGCATAATTTTGTTTTGACGAGATTCTGCTGTGGAAGGGAACAACCTTTTCATCTCTCCCGTCGGTTGATAATTATTTTCCGTGGGTTCTGAGAGATTCCTATTTGACCGTCGAATTGAATCGGACTTGAAATCGTATTTGTGTTTTAAAGGCGAAGTATAAAACTGCAAACATGGCGTTGGCCCAGCGAGGAGCACGTGTGGCCTCGGTTGTTGAAACCCTGGAGAGAGACATGGAATTGCTTTGCGTGACCGGTGTTGAGGATTCGTTGCAGGATAATGTCAAAGGGACGCTGGAGCTGCTGAAGAACGCGGGATTGAAGGCGAGTATAAATATTCATGGGTCTTGACGGAGTCAAAGAATCGATATTTTATTGATTCAGTATTCTAAATTGAGTTCTTCTGTTCTATTCAGAATCTTTGAAGAGAGGATATTTCTATCTACATCGCAAAAGCGTTTCTGAACCAGAATATCGCGAAGTTGTTGTCCTCTTGAAAAAAATATGTGTATTAACGGTCGCATTTCGTGCAACTACTCCAATTGTTGTAAAACCTCGTTACAACAGAGCTTTTGGGACCAAAAGAATGTTCCATTTTGAAGACAAATTCTTCGTGCAGTATGGCGATTCATCAACATTATGTCGATTGAAGAGGGAGATGAAAAACGAATTCTTTATGAGCAACCATTTCGTTATAACGAGATTCTACTGTACTGTATTTGAAAAATCTTTTTAATGCTATCATATCAAAACATTCACTGCGTTGTTGGAAAGTAACCGGGTGTAGGCGATGTCCTTTGTGCGAGGTGTCCATTATCCGGGGTACCACGGGATTAAGCATTGTTGAGACCTTGCGGTGAAGTCGGAATTGATTTTATATATTTATCGAGTGGGGAACGCCTACGTCGGTTAAGGGGCCATTTAAAAGGGAATAAAGCCGCAACTCTTTAGTTCCGCACTGGATTTGAAGAAAATCATTTTTTATAAAAGCTTACGTCCTGTACTTCCATCAAAGATCTGGATGTTGACCGGCGACAAACTCGAAACAGCGGCGAGCATCGCCAAGAGCTCGCATCTGGTCGGCAGGGACCAAACGACGTATCTCTTCCGCGACGTGTCCGACAGAAACGAGGCGCATTTGGAGTTGAATGCGTTTCGTCGGAAGGACAAGGCTGCTCTCGTGATCACGGGCAAGGCCTTTGAGACGTGTCGTCAATTTTACGAAGAGGACTTGATGGAGCTGGCGTGTCGAGCGCCGGCCGTCGTCGTGTGTCGTTGTGCGCCGACGCAGAAGGCTGATGTTGTGGGCCTGGTGAAGAAGTTTTCCAACAAGCGGACGGTGGCCGTTGGTGACGGCGGGAATGACGTGCCGATGATCCAGGCTGCTGATGCTGGGGTCGGAATCGTGGGCAAGGTGAGGATTTTATCAGAAAATTTGTAAGTGTTTTGTTTATTTTTGCCTTGTGCGTACTAAATTAATTCTTGGACGCCTGGTGCAGTAAAATCGGAGTCACCATTGTAAGGAAACATTTTAAAAATTAATTAACTCGTTTAACATGAAGGCTTTTGGGCAGGACCCTGAAAAACGAACCTTTTCAAGTCGAACTTCAAGGGGCCGGTAAAAAATTCGAGTGAGGAGAACATTATTTTTGTTGAGAGAATGAAAGAAGAATTACGGGAAATTTTCGATCGGTAATGTTCTGGGCCTTGAATTGCTCTTTAAATTAGTTGACAGGATGCTAAACTTTGAGGCAAGGGTTCATTTGCCCAATTAGTCTTTCACTTTCGTTCAATGCACATCAAGTTACATTTTTTATTGCTTTTCTCTTATCTGTATCAATAAAATAATTTCCAGAAGTCCTTCATACAATTCGAGTTATGGAGGTGTCAGGGGGAAAACCTTCAAGTGAGGGGGGGGGGGGGTTTAACGCTTTATTTCTAAGGGAATTCGGACACGGGCTTCAACGAAATTCGATATCAGGAAATATTCGAGTTATCGAGATTGAATCTTTAATTTTTTTTAGGAAGGGAAGCAGGCATCTTTGGCTGCCGACTTTTCTCTGACGCAATTTGATCATCTTGGCCGACTGTTGCTGGTTCACGGGAGATACTCGTATTTGCGCACAGCCGCCTTGTCTCAATTCATCATTCACCGAGGCTTGATCATCTCCGTGAGTCAAGCTGTGTTCTCTGCCCTATTTTACTACTCGTCGATTGCGTTGTACCACGGGATTCTGCTGATTGGGTGAGTTGAAAAATGAAAACGGCGAAACGAAAAATGGATCGATTTACTGAATTCTGGATTATGATGATGCTTTTAGGTACTCGACCGTGTACACGAACTTCCCAGTATTTTCGCTTGTATTGGATAAGGATGTAACTGCGAAGGTGGCGATGACGTATCCTGAGCTGTACAAGATACTCTCGAAAGGGCGTTCCTTGTCTTTGAAAACGTTCCTGATCTGGGCCATTGTTTCGTTGTATCAAGGTGAGTTTTAGAAGTAAATTCATTCTCAAGAGTCAAAATAACCTCGAATTCTCTCGAAATACTATTTATCTGCCCTTGCTTCCATCTTTTATTAATTTTCCAGCAGTTGAATCTCTGAAAAATATTTCTGATCAACCATCGTCTAATGTTGGAATATTTTTAAAGATTTGTTGTGATTTTGAGTGTTAGTTCTGCTGAAATTTTTAATCGGTGAGCCCTAATGCTTGTGTCAGAGGTAAAATTCAAGATGATCCTCATAAAGGTAATGAAGGTTTGCGTCGAGTCTAGTTATTGATCACGCAACTAAGACTAGAATCCTAACTCAGGAAAGCGGGTGCCCAAAAGAACTCAATTCCAAGGATTCGTATTGACAAAACTCTACAGCCATCCTTCGTACTTCCCCTTGCGTGTTTATGGCGACTCAAAACCAAGAGAATCGACAAAAAGTGCTATTTTTGATTTAGGAACGTCTTCGTAAGTTGGAGAGTTAAAAAAAAAGCGCAATGAAATGTTGAGCAATTGGTTTTTTGGGTATTCATTCCATCCTATGTAGACCTCACGGTTGCCAATCATTTTTTGTGATTACTTCATCCGAATTAATTCCTCCGGAAGACCATTGGAAAACGTGATCAGATTCTAAATCAATGCCTCGTTTGTGCGATGAGATTAATGTACTGTATATAAAAAGGGTGACGAACCGTTGGAATTTTTGGCAAGTTTATTTGAACGCAATCTTTTCACGATCGGGATATTAAATAGTAAGCAAGTGTATTTAGTGAGTGGAAATAATTTCGGGTTGGAAGAATACTTCATGCTGTGACCAGACAGTAGGGCACGCTTGGAAAGATATATTCTATACTGTATATTGATATCATTTTGCAGAGAAAGAGGGTCCATTTTCGTTATTTGGTTGAAAGAGCTGTTAAAACGTTCATCAATGACCCAGGATAATTTTTGAACAATGAATTCATTCATATTGTGATGTTTGAACTTGATTTTTCTTTTTTTTTTTTAAGGTTCGGTCATCTTGTACGGGACACTCATACTATTTGAGAATGATTTCATACACGTCGTGCTGCTGAGTTTCAGCGCACTCGTTTTGACTGAGCTGCTGATGGTTGTTTTGACTGTCAAGCGCTGGCATTACCTCATGGCGGTAGCCGAGCTTCTTTCGCTTGGAATCTACGTCGCTTCAATATTCATATTTCCCAAAGTTTTTGGTGAGTTTTTTCCGACAATTTTTTTCTTTATGCACTTGGTGACTTGGATTAGTTTTTGAGCGATAAAATTGATTAAGCGGCATGAATCCGCAGTTTGAGAAATATTTGACTTTATTACGCGGGAATACCACAAGAACATCCTCCGCTCGACCCCTTTTTGAAGGATTTTTTTCTGAAATCCTCAAGCAGAGTATTTTTATCTTCGATTTAAAACTGCTTGAAGGCAAAATTCCGCTGTGGAGTAAATTGCGTGGCGTTGATCCGCTTTGAAAGTGTGTCCACCGACTAATACAGTAATGAAATACCGAGGATATCGTTGACCTGGATTTATTTCTTAATGTAAGGAAAATTCCCTCTTGTTGAAATATTCATCAATAACGACGCTGAATTCCGAGAAGTAATTTTAATTTCGTTTTGTATTGGAAGATACATTTTCAAGTTCCATGGGAATTTTGGAAAGCAAAATAAATTCCATGCAAGTCAGTCGTTGCTGAAGTAATGTGAAATTTTTCTGTTGTTCAGGAAAATCGTTTTTACGTAGTTCAGGAATTTTGAAGAGATAGTTATTGAATAGCTAACAGTTCAATAAAGCTGTGTTGAATGTTTCTGATCTCCGGAAATGATGTTGGAATTATTTAAGAAAATCCTTCGCAATTTTAAAAAACATTTTCGCTGAGGGTTTTTTGTCTTTCTTAGATTTCCAGTTCATGGGTTCACTGGCGTTTTACTGGAAAGTTGCGACAATCACGTCAGTGGCCTGCGTTCCTCTCTTCATTGCCAAGTACTTGCGGAAGAAATTCGCGCCTCCGGCAGTGACCAAACTGTCGTGAACAGAAATAGGACTCTGCACTCCAAGGGTGGAGGTTCAACCCACTCGGTGACGGCCGAATTTCGTTCGGAACAAAGAAATTCATGTTCGGTGTCCAGATTCCTTACGGAATGATTGCGTGATAGCATTATTTTTTCCTATCGAAGGATTTCAATTAAACCAGTCGGATGTGTGATTCATTTTACTCCTCGCGGATTTTCTGTGTAAAATTACGAACGAGACCATTTTTTTCTTTTTTCGATGGATAATTTTTCGAGAGCGGTTTTTCAATGCGCTGGAAGCCGCTGGGGCTTTTTTTAATGTTCGTAATATTGCACGTGTAGTATTCAACCATCAAAGCACGACTTTTTTCCGAGATGATTTTAACTCAAGTTTTTTGCCTTTGAGCAGGTGTTGTTGAATTTGTTAGTGGGAGGAAAACAGTGTGGGAAAACATGAACGCGAGCAGCAAGATTAAGAAAGCAGTCGGGGAGAAGGTGGAGGAAGTAGAAACTAGCATTGCTCAGGCTCTGCTGGATCTCGAATCCACCAGCGACCTGAAAACGCAACTCCGAGAGCTTCAGATCACAACTGTGAAGGAGATTGACGTCCCCAACCGCAAGGTATTTTATTTATTTTATTCTGTCTCTCTACGAAGAAATTTAAGGGACCAGCAAGAAAAATCGTTGTAGAGAATCCCTGTAACAGTGGCAGTGATGATTTGAAAATAATTCCTTCCATTAGAAAAATGTATAAAGCGTAGATCTTGAAAAGAAATGAGGTGACACCGATGGAATTGCTAAGAAGAAATCACGGAGATGAACTTCCTGGCGTGATTCCCCTCGACTCCAGAAGATTTAAAGAAAATGAGCCTCTGTTTAATATCGGTATTGTTTTTTTTGCAGGCGTTGGTAGTTTTCGTGCCGTTTCCTCAGCTGAAGGCCTACCAGAAGATCCAAACCCGTCTGGTGCGAGAGCTGGAGAAGAAATTTAGCGGAAAGCACGTTGTTTTCGTAGCCCAGCGCAAAATCCTGCCGAAGCCGACGAGGAAGATGGCTAATAAGAGCAAGCAAAAGCGTCCCAGAAGGTCTCTCTTCTCCTCGTTCCATTTCATTTCTGAACATACGGGACAATTTTTTCCGCGCTGTTATAATGAAGTTTACATGAGGAATTTGTGTTCTGTAGAAATGCTCCTTGAGACGAATGTCAAGCAAATTTTGCTACATTTAGTACGGCTTTGAACAATTTTATTACCTTATGACCAGCTGCGTCGAGTATCCTTTCGAAAGACGTGTCTCCAGCTGTTACTCGCGTGTTGTCAGGAAAGAGTTGTATTGATAAAGCTGCCCTGGGGTTTCAGTCGGACGTTGACTGCTGTGCACGAAGCGATCCTGGAGGATCTGGTTTACCCGGCGGAAATTGTGGGCAAGAGGATCCGCATCAAGTTGGACGGCTCGCGGATTATCAAGGTGCACCTCGACCGCAACCAGCAGACTAACGTCGAACATAAGGTAAAGTACATTCCTGATTCTACCAGTTTACAGGAGTGCCCGAACATTTTCTGCACGCGGTAAAGCGCAGTGGGGCCCCGACATAATTCTTGCCTGGATCTTGTCCCTGTGTCGGAACGTCCGCATGTTGGATCACGTTTTTCTTATGGACTTCAATGGGACCATTTTTAATAGGCTCTCCTTTTTTTTTCATCAAAAATTAGTAACAAGTCCCTTGAAAAATTGAATAACATGTTTTTCACAACTTCAAGATGCAGAAAAAAATGTGAAAAGTGAACCACACAGTTGCTCAGATGATGGGGAGAAAAACTCTTTGAAAAGAAGAACAAAATTATCCTGTTTTTTACCATCAATTTGAGTAAATTTAGAAGTGATTTTTTTTAAATATACAGTATATAGTTCGAGACATAAAAATTCTGACCATGTGATATGTTGCAGTTTTCAAGAATATTGAAAAAGTTTGAGCATCTTTAGACATTATCCAGATACTAGAAATATTTTGGGTTTTGATTACCCTTGAGTCGAATTGTCCGAACGTCGGGGCCCCACTGAATTTGATTTGAGCTCCCGGAGTTCATTGAAATGTTATGTTTTCAAAATTCGTATGACGGTTATTTTCAAGAAGGAAAAATCAGAAACGGTCCTTCTCCCTGTAACGAAGCTCTACTTAGAACCCAATTGGGAATCGTTTCTCGAATTAATTTTCGATTCGTGAGTTAAGGTTTTTCGAGGAATCTTGAATTTCATGAAATCGCTCGATTCGAAGCCATTTCAAGCACTCCATGTGTTGTCTTGGTCAAACTCGAGCGAATATTAAGATTGGCGTGTCAAACGGTCGCTGGATTTGTGGCGAAATCGATCCTGATTCAGCATTACCAAGAGCGCCCACATTTTCCCTTTGAATATTCGGCTTTTAATTATTCATGTTGTTGAATGAGGAAAGTTGATGCTCTGTGGGAGAAGTAACTTTTTTCGGTTGTTGTTCACATCTTAGAGGAAGCGTATGCAGAAAATGATTTTCAAGGCTTTACAGAGGATAAAAGTCTGAAAATTTTGTTCTGCGCGTAATTTTTTAGACACTCTGTTTTAGAAGCCGTAAAAACAGTCACATTCGCTACGGAATCTAGATATTTTTGTGGATGGTAACGAAAAGCATGGTTGTTTTATTTGACAGGTGGAAACGTTCCGGGCAATCTACAAGCGCCTCACTGGGAAGGAAGTCGACTTTGAATTCCCCGAGCCTATTTTCTGATGAGGCACGCGTCCGTTGTGCGCTGTTCGACAATTAGATGCGTTTGAGAACCCGCGAAAAAAACTGTTGTCATTTATTTCTTGAATAATTTTCCTAAGAAAAATGAAATTCTGTCGTCGAATTGAAACTGATGAATGATTTACATTTTCGGAAGTGGGTGTGTGTGTCAGGATGGAGTCGAGAATCGTGACGATTGCTGGTCGAGTCTTGTGGAGTCGCACTCCGGCTTTTTCGGGACTCACGGGAATGAGACGGGCTTCTTCTGCAGGTAAAAAAATAAATAAATAAAGGGTTACAGTTGAACCTCCCCAAGTCAAATACATCCCTGTGTCAAATTTTTTCGACTCCCTGTTACAATTTCTTATTTTACGATGTATTAAAAATGTCCCTAACGCGCAAGATTTCCTTCTCAAACCTCCGTAGCTGGAATTTTCTACGGAACTTTTGGCTATTATTTTATTGACGCAGGAAAAATAAAATCAACAAGAATATAACTTGGTGTGTTCTGAAAGGAAGTGAAAGACAAATGGGATAAATGAACCCTTGCCTGCAGGTTCAGTATCATGTCAACTCACTTGAGAGGCGATTTAGGGCCTAGAATATCACCAATTGCAATTTCCTGTAATTTTCCTTTCCAACCCTTTCATCCTTCCAACAAAAATTTTCCAACTGAAATCTGCATAACTGGAAATTCTTTCTGTTCCTTTGAAGTTTGACTTGAAGAGGTTTGACTGTTTCTTCTCAATCAGTAAAAGCTAAAAACTCTTTAATCACACGTTTCGTCCTTCTCCCAACTAGGATCATATTCAAACATTCTTGTGGAAAAGAGAGGAGAGAATAAAAATGTTGGTCTAATCACATTGAATCGACCCAAAGCATTGAATGCATTATGCAACGCACTGATGGCGGAATTGAAAACTGCCATCAAAGAATTCGAGGACGATAAGGCCGTAGGAGCTGTTGTTTTAACAGGATCTGAAAAAGCATTTGCTGCTGGTGAGTCTTACGCTTTAATTAAATTTTTCAAGAGACCTCGATTTCCGAAATAACTGTTTTTGCAATGACATTTTTTTTTACATGCGCGCAGGAGCCGATATTAAAGAAATGAAGGATCAGGAATTCTCAAACGTGTACCAGTCAAATTTCTTGGGTCATTGGGCCGAAGTGATCAAGTCTAGAAAGCCAATAATCGCTGCTGTCAACGGATACGCGGTGAGTTCCTAATGGTGTTTTTAAAATGTTTTTTAACGATATCAAGTCCTGGAATCTCTCCTTGATCGGAATAATTAAATTTCGAATTAGCGCAGTTCGTGGACTGATCCGTTTTGCTGTGCGAAAAATCAAATGTGCCGTTTGTCGTGTGCGTACAGCCAATCCTCGATAAACCGCCATTTTTTTTAGGTTTGCGGCGCTTGTACGGGTTTGGTGGTTTTAAAAAGCCCTAAAATGATATGAAAAGTTAGTGTTATAGGAAATGAATTTCGTTTCTTCTAGAAAATAATTAAAATACAAGTTCAACCTCTCTAAGTCGAATTTCTAGGGACCATGAAAAAAAATTCGACTTAGGGAGGTTTCCAGTTGAGAAAACAAACACTTTTGTTGTGAGAAGTGAAAAAAATGTGGGAAGTCATAAATGAGGATATTCTGGGGTACACCTTGATGAACTTGGAGGCAGGGGTTTCATTTGCTATGCATTTTTTGTCTTTTAATTCCTTTGAAGATGCATCAAATTATTTGTTTTAATCATTTTATCTTTCATATTTCAAGAAAATAATGACCAGAAGGCCTCAGAAAATTCGACTTACAGAGTTTTTATAAAAAAGACTTTGAGTTAGGGAGGTTTTTAATGTATTGATACTAAGGGAATTCAGACAGGGACTTGAGAAAAATTCGACTTAGGGAGGAATTCGACTCGACTTATGAAGGTTCACCTGGTAATCCTGGGATGCGTAAATTATATCCAGCTGATGTACCCAAGAAGTAAATTGTGTCATCTTCGTGTTTTTGTATTTTTTAATTGGATACCTTCCACAGAAACTTGAATCTTGTTGGCGGACTGTCAACGACAGAATGAATGGGCAGGAGCATAATTGAGTTGTCAGTAATTTTGGCGGATGGTTTTCCAACGAGGTTTCCCACGCTAGTATCATAATGAAATTTCGAGATTTTTTTCAAAATAAATTGGCGGTTGCAGAGGGTGGCGTCTCAATTCGGCTTGATTCTGCTTGCAATGATAATAGTCTGTTTTGTCAAGGAAATGTTATTCACGAATTACATGATTTGGAAATTGCCAATTTCTTTTTTTATAGCTGGGCGGTGGGTGTGAGTTGGCGATGATGTGTGACATAATCTTGGCCGGAGATAGGGCGAAATTCGGACAACCCGAAATTCTTCTGGGTACGATCCCTGGAGCCGGTGGAACCCAACGACTTCCCAGGATCGTCGGCAAATCGAAAGCTATGGAAATGGTGCTTTCTGGTGATCCAATTAATGCATTGGATGCTGAAAAAGCTGGTTAGAACCGCGTGCGAATCACAATTTGCCGAAATTCGATCCAAATCGTGGGGGTTATTCTTCCAGGGCTGGTCAGCAGAGTCGTTCCAGCGAACGAATTAGTTCCTGACCGCTAATTTGACCGACTTTTTTAACGTAGGGTAAGCGTTGAGTAACAACGGTACACGTTTCTTCGACACTTATGGCCAGTCACGTATAAAAAACAGGCAAAAAACAAAGAGACCAAATAGGGGCGAGTTTGCATTTTTTTGAAAATCCGGCTGGTTTTCCCTTTTTCTCTGTCTGTCAGCATACGAAACAACTCTGGCGGAAGGTCTGCATTACGAACGTCGAGTGTTCCACACAACATTTGCAACTGTGAGTTAAAAACGTTGTTTCTATATGCTTCTCCGATGTCATAAAAACCCTTGCTCACATTTATTTCTCTATTTTCGCAGCATGACCGCAAGGAAGGAATGACTGCGTTTGTGGAAAAGCGCAAGGCGGACTTCAAGGATTCCTAAGAGAAAATGGCCGTGTTGCAGTGTTTTGCCTTGAAGCTGAGAAAAATGTATCATGGCGTGATTATTGATTGTGTTTTTTGTTGGGAATTTGTGGCGTACTAGGTGAACGTCTTGGAAGTAAATGCTTTGGGAAAATTTGGTGTTCGCGAAAGCCGAGCGTTTCATTGAATTCCGATCATGTCGAGTGAAGGGAAAGTCTGAGCCTGAAATGTTCATTCACTCGTCGTTAAGGATGTCTTGCGATGACGAAACGGTGAA